GCAAACCTTCCTACCATGCCACGGGGGCGCCGATGCTAACGCCATTTAGTCAAACTGATTATAAAAAGCAAAATCATACTGAAACACTGCACTGCTCGTTTTGCCATCTTATAGACACTGGAAATGGAAACCCGAGTACATGAGCTCCAAAACAGTTCTTTTCCCCGTCCGTTATTTTTCTTTATTGCTTGTCATCTTCAATACACGCATTGATAAGGATATTGAACAGTTTCGACACACCGTTAATGGGCGCACGAGTAAAATAATCATATCTTTTTCGCTTATGGCGTCATTACTGTAGGTTGTCTTCTTGTAAATATAACAGAAAAGCCCCACGGACGATGATGCATGAAAGCAACTTACTACAGAACCGGCACGTACGAGTTTTTCGGTTTGGCACACCACATTAGTACCTTATGGTTACGTGGAAACAAATAAATTAATTTTCACAATTGATGTATCATTTGTTCGGATAGCAAGGCCTTTGAGTTAAACTTGGAGAGAATAATCTGTTTTTCTAAAAATCGACCGCGCCACCTAATGTTGCCACATGCATGCACTGTCACGGTCGGATGTGCAAGTCATGCCAAAACTAAACGTCAGCTAGCTCCCACGTGCCTGTGTACGTGTTGTTTCTTGTGAATACGCGTTCGAGCACGACCAATTTCACTTTATAAAGTGGACTGAAATTCAAATTATATCTGAAATAGAACTGTAGACAAATTGTTTATGACGATAATTTGGCTATTATGTTTCAGCTATGGCACGCATAATGACTGGACATTTTAATCTTCGAATTCCCGAGATATTGACCTTGCAATCGTTTTGCGGGGACTCCAGCAGTTTACTTTGGCATCACGCTTCATTGTGCAATAGTTTTAAACTGACTAAGAAAGTGGTGCACGGCCAAGACAGAAAGCTTCTATCTTCGCTTTGACAAAAAAATTAAACACCAGGAATGCCAAACTAGCAAATCAGACAAAAAGCTAGGAACAGAGACAAAAACACTGAATATATCTTGGAATCAAAAAGGACACTTCTGACAATTTTCAACTTCTTATATTCAGCTTATTTGACACTATTATTTGTAAATCCTGAAAAAAAATTGCGCAGACCTGCACCTTCATCTGTGCACGGATTTCTAATTAAATTTGACATAATATTTTTCATATGTAATTAGCGATATTGGTGGACTTTTGAAACAAAGATACATGTACTATTAAAAAAATGTACATGTTTATATGCAGTATTATCTGCAAGATTAGAAAACAAGAATAAGGTTAATGGATAAACAGTTCTCACAGTATCATTTTCTCTGAAAATTCTTTTCACATTTTTGAAAGCTAATATAAGTAAAAGTATGTACATATAGATGAAACTCTGACCAAAACTGGGTGTCACAGCAGAATGAATAATATACACTACTGGCATTAAACTTAAAACTCATTAACTGCAGTGTGTCACTTCTGGAGCTAGTAACCCTCTATTACCTCGTGTAAACGCACACATATGCCTCATATCTGCGTTCGAGGCACTTATACTATACATCATAACAGCTCTCATCCTATGTGTACTAACAAAACAAGGACAAAAGTGAAACGAGAGCATTGTGTGAAGTAGCGATATAAGAGCAAAACAACCGAAAAGGCAACATAAGGTCAAAGGGCAAAGGTCACCAGATAAAGGATTAAAACAACAATTAAAAACGGATGAATTTCCTCAAATAATAAACATTAAACAGAGAGTTATCTTCCCAGGTAAGGGGATAACACGTTAATGTTATTTTGAACCACGGCAGTGTTGAAAACCTTTAAGTGAACATAATCGAGTACCAAAGTGATGTAAAAAGCATCAGCAGGAGAACAAGCAAGTGTACCAAAGCGTGCACATAGTGCACTCGTTTGTACGGCATTTACTGGTTCTGAAGGGTGTAACACTTGGGTACTCTACAGTATAGGGGTACCAGGCAAGCACCTGGTGAACAGGTAAGAAACAAAATGCTTAGTCCCAAAAAGGAGATAATGGGCACGTGGGAAGGACAGAACAGGAGGTGACTGGTAGAAACTCTTATGGTACATATCAAATATTTTGCATAAAACAAAGGTTTAAGCCCTAAGACAATGGGCAATCTTTTCAGACATTTTACAGTTTTCAATGTAAAAATGACATTAACATGGCAAATGGCACTCCGCTTGCATCTTTTATTGTGAATATCTATTGATAATTACCACTCAACAAACATAACCAGATGTGGAGGGGGTGTTTAAATCCTTTGGCCGAAAACATCCAAAGCCAAAATACAGTGGGGGGGGGTTAAGTACATGTATATATCTATATCCCCACATATAAAGTGGAATGCATACATGTATATGATCTATCAAGCTTTTCATGGTGAAGATAGCAAGTTAGTTGTACAGGTTTGCGGTAGCACCATGCGAGGATATCCGTCCATGGTGCTACCGAAAACCTCTACAACATACATGTACTTTGTATGGTAACTGAACAGAACTATACACATTTTACAGGTACATTGTATAACCCAATCTTAGGGTTAATATTATAAATATGTACTCCTACAGTTTTATCCTTTATGAGCAATTTACACCTGCAAATCAATTATATTGATTACCAACATTTTCAATCATGCAGAAATATGACAATACTAGCAAACACTAAAAAGGTTATGTATTGCTCTACAACCAACAAAACCAAATGTGGTGATGAATGTGTTTCATTCACAAAGTACCACAAACAATTTGAAAAAGAAATCGCAACTTTCACTATTTATTTTCTGCCACTTAGTTTTATCACAAGGAGTACTTTTCCCAAAGATACGAATATGCTTCCACCACAATTACATTGAAAATAGAAAGCTTGTTTGGGTGCAATGTTTCAGTTTTAGTAAATCAACAATTGGTGCATTTCTAATGCACACTCTTGATGCACTTTGGGATTTCCCAAATTTGGACAAATTATTTTATAACCAACCAAAACCACAAAAGTGGTAAAAGCAAATGCCACTTCAGCTAGGAAAGCCAATGTACATTTTTGGATTTTCTAAATAATGTCAAAAAAAATCAGTCCAGAAAGATTATACATACAGTACGACAAGAGGATACTGTAGGCAAATTCAAAACTGTATCAATAAAAGCTTTGTATGGTGTATATCACACAAGAATCAAAGCCTAGATATACATCAAACACATACTTGCTTTGAAGGTGAAAAATATTTAGCATGAAGCGTACATTTCTTTGATGCGCAGTGTGTACCCAAAAAACCCCCAACCCGTGTGTAACATATTTTTTCCCAAAGTTAGGGGAAAAATCTATTCTAACAAAAAAAAATTCTATAAAACTGACGTCTTCAAATTTTTAAATTAGTATTAATTATGTTTTAGTCAAATGCCTTGAGCATCAACCATTGACAGTTTTGATGTTATACAAGAATCACTTATCATTATTACTATCATTAGTCTTCAGTTTTGAAAAGATGGGATAAAAGATATGTAACTTCTGGGTGGTTTTTTGGGGGACACCCTGTATTATTAGGATGTGAATTAGGCCACATTTCCTCAGAGAGAAACGAGTGACTGACTTGATTTCTGCATGTTGATCTTGGTATGAATGTCACTCCTACACAGCGGGCAGAGGCGTAAACTTCCACTGCATGAGCCACAGCAACAGACATGACCACAGTTCAGGAACAGAACATCAGACTAGGAGGAAAGCATTGTTGCAATATGAAGATAATGTTACAAGAACGTCAATAAAAAAATTACGACTGGAGTCACAATGATAAATGCTTTAACTCATGAAAAAAATTCGCTCAGCAAGGGTACTAAGTAGCCATCTCAAACACCTTCTATGACAAATTGCAGCCAACTTGCGGACAAGTTGCAAACAAGTCGCACACATTGCTGTGGGTATAATTTGCAGGATCCCAAAAACTTTTCATGCAATCTTGAGACCATGATGCACTTATTACATGGTTTGTGTTAAACAATCCAACCTCACTGCATAAAAATCTATGAGGATTACTTGAGGTATGGATTACTTGAGGTATTGATATCATGATTCAATACACACAGAATTTGACAGAACGTGTGCATATGTTCCCTATGCTTTAAACCAAACAATAAACCTATGAATGAAAGAGATGATTCCCTTATCACATGAAAAAACTGAAAGAACTCACATTATTCTCCATACAGATGACACATTCAGCATTGACTCGAACTGTCACTTCCTTCATAACAGTAGCTGCAGCAACAGCACTTGCACTATCCTCATCCATAAAGGGTGCAGTAGGATTCATCCTGGGTACAGTTTCATTAGACTCAATCTCCTTTGCTTTCACCGATGCCATCTCCCTCTCCTTGATAAATTCACTAATGTGTGATAAAATTGCATGACGTAGACCAAGTTCATGAACACCCATCTGTAAACACAAGAGATAAAACAGAAATGGTTTCTAAAGAAATTGCCTCATGTTACAACGAACTGTAATCAAGCACACCTGATAATAACAAAATATATGTCGTCTTGTTTTCAGTTACATGTTGAATTTTTCTGTTTCACTCATTCACCTGTGAAACTGCAATTCAGTGAAGTAAACAAAAGACTTTAAAGCTGTTTCCACAATGGACTTTTCCTATTGGAAGGGTCAAATGTGACTCATGAGGGCATTTTGCAGAGCCTCTCAATATTCAAATTTATAAAATGGGTTTTACCCTTACCCAACGTATACATATTCATCCGAAAGTCATGCTTTATTTTGTCAAAAGACATGTTGACATGCTTTATTATGATCTGGGAATAATGCATTAATAGCACCAAACCTCCGACTGTATCAAGATCCGCCATGACTGCAACCAAAAAAGGTACAAAGCACTGGTAACTTGCCACATATGCACTGCACCATGAAAAGCGCATGTGTCATGTATCCTTTCTAGAGCTACTTTTAGCATGATTCACACTGTCTGCACTGGACTTATCTTTGTAAAAGTTTTTATATGGTCAGTCTACTGGGAGTTGTTGGCAAGACTAAGCAACTACTGGATTTAGAAAAAATAATTAAGAGGAAAACATCTCAGGCTTTGTGTCCTGGACTTAATTTGGAAAAATATAAATATAAAATTACCTCCTTTAAATTGCTATCTGTCAATTGAAGCATGGTTTCTATGGTAACTCGATGACGGGCAAACTTAGGAATGTAATCATCAGCTCCTGCCCTCTCCAAAATTTCCAAAACTGACAACTCCAAGTGGTTTTCCTTAAACAGGAAATAAATTTTCACTCAGCATGATGCCGAAAACTCACCATAATTACACCTTTGTGCTAATTAACAAGCATATAAAATTTAAAATTGAAGTTCCAGTGAGAAATCATTTGATATTCAAAAGAAACGAGTAACTATTGGAATGAAACTTCCTCATATATTATGATCAGATTCAAAGACTAAACAAGAATCTGTGTCGTCAAGTTTTCTTTGTGCTCAGTAACTTCAATCCCAGATGATTGATGAACTTGGTCAACAAATGGTTGTTTTTCTCCCTAGTAACCTATGCACAAAACACTTCCTGCCTACCACCTAAAACCAATCAGTGGTTGTTATATGGTCGTCTCTTAAACTTGCTACTGAGTGTTTTCATCCAAGTTTGTGTTGAAAATGCTGAAAATGGTGCCCAATGATGCATGGATCCTTGACTGTAACCAAGGCATACTAAAAAGTACTTCTGGACTATTTCAAAACACTACTATATGTTTTTTCTCTGAAATGCACAAATTGGTTGTATTAATCCTTTAAAATAGGATAACCTTTACCAACCAATCCCTTGGAGTGAGAATTGATTATCTCACCGACCTTATTAAATGATTACCTTTTTTATCTCATAGCTTCTAGAATATGAAAAGCCTTGTTACCTTATTTTCACAGCTGATCAATGAGTAGCTTTGTTTCTGAACCATTAGTATCTGGATTGTGAAAAGAGTCTTGCTCATTTAAATAACTTTGTATACCTGATCAATGAGTGCTTGAGGTTTGCGATCCATTAGCCTCTGGAATTGGATCAGCCAGTAGTCTTGAACATCATCTTCACGCCTCTGTTCCATCTCCAGCTAGAGGAAAAGCACATTTTAAACAGCTCAAACCGTTTATATATATCTTTCAATTTTTTTCTCATCAGCCTTAACTAACTTTATCCCATACTTCATGTGAACTTCTACATCCAAAAATTAGGAATGCACCTTATTTACAAGAACTTCATTTACACTATGACTTACAAGTCTTTTCTTGAGTTCCTCCTCCCTATCTTCTCTTTCTATCATCAGTTGTTTCAGCAATGCAGCTAGTTCTTCTCTCTTCTGTTCCAAGGTAATGTTGGCTGACTCAGCTTTGACCGAGCGTTTCTCTAGCTCAGCCATAGTTACCTCGGCTAGTTGTTGTTGTAACATGTAAATCTGTACAGATTGAAATCAAAGGATTTTGTTATCCCTTGCTCTCGGAAAGTTAACTGTTTGGTAAGGAGCAAATATCCTCAGCATGAAGAGCTCTGGAAGGTGGGACATCACAGTAGGGTACCATTTTCACATTAGAAAACCCCCTGTGATAAGGACTTCAATGGGCAAAAATACAAACTATCGAAACAAAAGTCAGAAGACTTGCCAATCCACTCACAGGGGATAATATAAACTTCTACAAAAATAATGAATAGATAAAAACACCGGTAATAATCAAACAACACTAGATCATAATGGCATGCAGTAAAAACAAATTAAACAGAAGAAACAAAAGCACAAACAACTGTTACACACAATGTCCTCCCAATGACAAACAATGAGAAAAAAATATGTACATACAAACATACAACTTAGACAACAAAAATATAAATCCCACAATGAAGTATGAACCAGGATGCGGAAGCTAGATGACAAAGACAAAAATGCATACTGCACCCCTGGTCACCTGGGACAGACTTACCCTCATACATTAAATGAATGACTCCAAACAACTGTAAAATAATAAAATAGTGGACACAAGTTGGTCAATGTTCAGCAGTGTTCAGCATCTGGGGTCGGAATCACCCCAGAACAAAGGCCACCACATCACCAACCTGTGCTCAGCATGAAGTGTTACATAACTATCCCCCATATCCTACTGCTGTTTCCTGTGGAGAAAAGTCCATTACGTGAAACAGTCATGCATGCAACAGTCCCTTCACATTAATGGGGGTGTAACCGCAATGTCCCCGACACTCCCCTGGAAAAACAAATATTTTCCCCAACACATCTGAGGAAAAAAATAAGAACTTGATCTACATTCAGTTTTCTCCTAAGCTAATATTGACCAAGAATTCAGGAACATGTGTCCGTCGATGGTTCCTGTTTCAAATGACTGATATGCAGCGGGCTGCTGATACCATTGTTGCCATTGGACCATTAGCATTTGTTGTGTGGGCCACAACATTAGTTGGTGTCCACTGCACTGGGGGAGCAGACTACAGCATCGCCAGCAGTGCAAGGAGTGACATCATCACGAGTGCTGATGGCTGCCTCTATTTCACTGGATAGGGGCTGTCTATGCAGGTGGTTCCAGCTGAGTATTCTGATTGTCCCCTGGGTTGGCTTGGTGTGAGGCACAGACTTCTGTGGCCAGAGCAGGAACAACTGGATCAGTTTCTACTTGCTGTGGCACAGCTGCATGTTCAGGTACATCCTCTGTGGCAGGTTCAGGAGCATAGATGACTCCATTGGAGCATCAAGGCACACTGAGGTACTGTAGCTTCATAGGGTTGAGGAGTTTGGTCAGGAATGTCAGCAGAATCTGCTATAGTTGTTTGTAAAGGTCTGATCACTGGTGTCAGGCAAATGACTCTGCTGCACAGTGTAAAGCATTGACAGCAGCATGCCTCAGGTGCAGAACAACAACTTCTCCATCTGAACCATCAGAATCAGTGTCAGCCATGGCTGATCTTTCCTCTTTTGGCAGCTATTTCTGTGGAGCAGTTGGTCGCCGAAGAGAAGGTTCAGGGCCACTGAGTGGGTCACTTGAGTTGTCATCACAAGGCTGGCGCAGGTTTTGATGAAGAAAAATGTATCATCCTACTCCACACTGTGGTCCAAGTTCATAAACTGGAGGGTCATTCCCTTGCAGTGAACAACAAGGATCTTCTGCTCTAAGTGGGATCTTAGCTTTCTGGGTCCTCCTGTCTCATTGAGGTTTCTGAATAGTACCCTGTCATCAGGCTCAAGGATGGAACTGTGGATTTTCCTGTCAAAGTGATGCTTGCCGCATGTTGCAGATTCGCCCACACTTTGTCTGGCAAGGTTGTACCGGTAGGCTTTAATCCTCTCTCATTTCCACCTCTGACTATACTCCAAGTGGGTCTTTATGTTGGTGGTAATCCATTGTTGACCAAAGGCGAGGTCAATGGGGAGACGAGGATGATGTCCATACAAAAGAAAGAATGGAGAGAATCCTGTTCCGTTTGATCAAGTGCATTTGTAAGCATGAACTGCATCATTTGGTAAGTCCTTCTGTGTTGTCTTGTCTTCACTGAGAAGAGTCCATAAAATCCCCAGGAGTGTGTGATTAAATTTTTGAACCAGCCAATTTCCTTAGGAGTGATAGGGAGTGGTCCTCAAAGGGGTTATGCCACACAGCTTCCGGTGCCTCCAGAAGAGTTCATTTTCAAACCTTTTAACCTGATCATCTTTAAGTTTTTGGGAAAAGCCAAACCTCAGGACAAGGTTGTCGAATATTTTGTCAGTCACATTCTTCCCAGCCTTGTTCCTTGTTGGGTAGGCCTGAAATGATCCATAACGTCCAAAATACATGTATACTCTGATCCCACTTTGCTTCTTTCCAGATGGACAAAGTCAATAAACAAAAGGTCAAAGGGCACTGTCATCACTATATACATTGGAATGGCTCTCTAGTTGGCCGGTCTGGTCTCTTCTGCTTGAGACATCTGCATACATTGTTGACAAAGTGCTCAATATCTTGCTGCATGTGGGCCCAGTAGAACTTTTTTCAAGCTAGATGAACCGTACGCTCTGCTCAGAAATGTTCCATCTCTTCATGCCATTTTTTAAAGATAGTCTGGTGGTACATGAGAGGGAGGACTAGTTGGGAAGTTCTTCCAGACATTCATTGTAGTATCCCCCTTTCATCCAGCTCCAGCTTGTCCTACTCGCATAAGATTTCTCTGCTGTTGGACTCCTGCTTGGTCCTTCCAATTGGGGTGAAACCCTGTTTCGTGTACTGGATAACACGGCCAATAATTTCCTTGTTATGCTTGGCTACATGTATCTTCTCTGGGGTGAAGTTTTGGGTTAAAGTAACCTCACTGTCTGGGCGAAGTGATGAAGTGCACAAAGCAAAATCCCACGGAGAGCTACCCAATGATCCAGCTGTTACACCGCCGACAGTGGCTGTATATTCCTCAAGCTTGATCTCCTTTGAGAACTCATCTTGGAATTTCTTGATATCTAGAGGCATTAGGGAGAGGACATCTGCACTTGTGTGTTTCTTCCCAGGACGATATTTGATGGTGAAGTTGTAGTTTGCAAGCTGAGCTACCAATCTATGGCACACTGCATTAAACCTGGCTCAACTGAGGACATAGCGGCTTACTGTCTGTGTGGACTGTGAAGGAGAGAGCATAAAACAATTAATCCAATTTATCTGTCACAGCCAAATTTAAAGCCAGGAATTCAAGTTTATGCGAGTGCAGGTAATACTTTTTTCGGACCCGTAGCAGATTAACTTCTCCTTTCCGTTCTGCTGTTGATATACATGTAGGACTGCCCTGAGACTATGATTCGAAGCATCAGAGTGGAGTATGAATCATTTATCGTGCATAGGAAAGCCAATTACTGGTGGTTGTGTGAGGCAGGCCAACAGGTCTTCCAGTATATGTTCTCGGTGGTCCATGTCATCTTCTACTTGACGGCACTTGGTTGTGGCCCTTACCAGTAGTAGGTCTGCACTTCATCTTCTTTAGGGGCTAGTTGCAGTAGCAGATCGTACAAACCTTTGCTTTCTGCAAGAAATTGTAGGTGTACTGGCACTAATATCCAATGAAGCCAAGCAACTTTCTCAGCTTGCCAATGGTGCTTGTCTCATCTCATACAGCCTTAACTGCTGCAACATCTGATGGGTCCATCCCATGTCCCTGACTTGAAATGACTTGTCTGAGGTAATGAATATAGTTGTTGCCCAGCTGTCCTCTGACCATAGAGCCCTGATGGAAGACTTTTTCTTAATCCAGAGTGGAAAACAAGGAGTTTCCACAAAGCTTTTTTTGTACATCCTGGATGCAAGGGATGGGTTTTCTATCAGCGATTGTCTTTTGCTTTAATCTCGATAGCTGCAGCAAAGATGGAGAGACCAATCGAGGTGAATGTGCATTTGAAGGTCTTTGATACAGCCTGTGTCATGTTCACCTCTGGAAAAGGCACTTGCTTCCAATCTAAGCATTTACATGGCTGTCTTTTGTTGTTCTTCAGTCACTTGACATCACACAACAAGACCCATCCGTCATCACTGGTCTTTGATGATATGAATTGACACCTTCAGTAAGGTGACTTAGTCTGTGTACAGTAGTGGATCAAAATCTCTAGTGAGCCAAGGTTAGTGTGTTTTGTTTCCAGATGACATCATAGTTTCCGATACTCACCATCGGTATAGAAACCCTTTGTGATGAATGCCTACGTTTTGTTTCAGGACAAAGGTACTAACAAGAAAAATCTTGATTGATTCCTTGATGTCTTGGGCAAGGCAGGACAACTGATTGCATAACTCTGTTGCATCTTTTTCCTGGTAGCGTAATCTCTGGATTTGTCACACCACCGGGAGTGTCAGGCCTGTCCCACCCTCTACGTAGCTACGTGGGGCTGAACCTGGAATAAGTGAACCAATTAAAGCATCAATTATCTCATGTTCTGAGTGCCCCTTTGCCTTACCGTTTTCAACCTGGTGTGTTAGACCGGAGCCTGACAACCAGTCTTGCTGTCCTTGTTCTCCAAATTGGCAAGGCTTGCCGGTGAGGTGGATGTTGGAGGTCTGCCATGGTCTTGTTGATCATGGAACTGGAGGCTTTGCAATGCTCTACCTGCGGCTTGTCACTGACATTAATTGTCTGGACAAAATCAACAACCCCCTGTAAGTCAACATCCCCTTGTCCTATCTCCCCCCAACTCCTCGCTCAACAAGAAGCAGTTGCCCCGCCTAAGCAGCAACTTTGGGTTGTCATCTGGGCCAGAATGTCAGAGGTGGTTACATGTCTTGATTAAAGACGCCTATAAAAGTCGACCAACTTGCTGCATCAACAGACCACACAACTCTTGTGGTGACTCTACCATGGCTACCAAAGTCAATGCTGCTGGGGTCCACTCCTCACGAGCTGATTTTCTCTGGTCAACCTTCCATGGCCTCTTCACCCTCCTTAGCTAGTTGCAGACATGTTTCGAAATGAGTGGGGACTTCACAGGCCGCTTCTCCTGCTACCACATGCCACATTGGCTCTGATCAATTGACAAGTGCTACCATTCCTTCCCAGACAGGCACAGGGCAGGAAACGCCTGTCCCTTCGTGGTCACTAAATGTTGCACCCCTAGACATTCAGAACAGGTTACCTACGAGGCACATTAAATGAATGCATCCAACTGTAAGATAATAAAAGGGTGGACACTGGTTAGGCTGGTGTAGTGGTCAAAGTTCTGCACTGTTCAGAATCTGAGGTTGGAACGACCTTAGAACAAAGGCCACCACAACACTCGCCTGTGCGCAGCAGAAAGTGTAGCATCACTATCCCCCACATCCTACTGCTGTTTCCTGCGGGAGAAAAGTCTCTTACGTGAAAAAGTTATGGATGCCAAGGAGTGGGAACAAACAGGACCTTCAAAAAAACATGGGGGTGCAACCTCCACATCCCCAACGTATACAATTACAGTACAAACATACAAAAATGTCAAATAGGAATACAAAGAAACTTTTTTAAAAAGAGACAAAACAAAAAGAATCATTCTGAATTGGCCTAACTCAGAATAATTCAGAAAACTGAAGACAATTGGAGAATGTAGCAAAGAAAGTGTAAAGTGTTCAAGTGTTATAACAAACCATCCACACCTCTGGCTCTGACATGAGCTTGAGATACCTACTTCTTCTGTCAGTCTCTTGTGCTTGGCATCTTTGCTGAGCAGCAACATCTCAAATGCTTGTCGTTGGAATTCTTCAGCTTTCATTAATTCAGCTACCATGGCATCATTATTCAGCTGCTTTGCTTGAAGGTGGGAGCTCAGCTGATCAAATGCTTCATTCTCGCTATCATGCAAAAAAGAGCCAGCGCCCAACTTAATAGCTTTGTGATTTGTGGGTTAAATCCAGTCATAAATACATGGTCTAATTAATATGTTCACTTTTTGGTCATTACATGAGCATAAATGAAGTAAATAATTTTGTCCTGAAGTGCAGCGACTAAGTTTGCAAGATGAAGTATGACTTGACAAGAAATATCTTCTGTACAATAGAAATTAGGCCAAACTTTTATATTCCTTGGTCCTCATGCTCGCTGACAGGGAACGCCCCAACAAAAAATAATAATACATTTTATGGAGGGTATGTCCCCTGACCAACTACTCAGAAACATTTTTAATCTTTTCTCTGTTGATATTAAACGCAGAATCCTGCAAACACTGACATTTGTCAGGCTTCATACGCATCCATAGTAAGCATCCACAGAATATTCTGGACATTACCAAGTATTGATGGTCTGACATGCGACTCAATCATTGGTCTTAGCCTAAGACGTCCATGACTGATAATATTTTTCATTACACTACAGCTCCTTCACACAACTGTTTAAACTGTCTTTTTAGTGTGAGCAGAAGAGTTGGTAGTTAAAAACAAGAGTGCACCTTCAAACAAAACTATCAAACAGATATTAAGTCTAAGAGTTTTATAACAAAACCCTTGTTTTTCTCACACCTATCAGAAATGTGTGAAAATTAGTGTTTTTAGCAACTACCAATAAAAATGCAATGCTATTTCTCCACCCTGCTCTTCAAGAGGTTTTTGACAAAAAGCTCAAAGACAAAGGAATAAGAAAAAGTCTGGCCTTCGAACAAAAATTCCAAGCTACACAAAAACCTTCAGCATGTTTCACATGAATACAGGTTGGATTCATGAGTCACAATAAGCATTTTAATCTGCATGATCATATAACTGAGACATAAATTGTAAGAGACAGCCTTTCCTTACATGGAATGAATTTGATTAATTTGAAAATATTACTACATCCCACTAACCTGTCTTCAGCTTTCTTCCTGATATTTTCCTTGTGTTTATCATATGTGTTTCTCAGTTGCTCTAGCTCATAGTTCTCCTTTACAATAACCTGCATGAAGTCTAGGATGTCTCTTTCTCGTAAGAAGTCGTGTTCCTCTGCAATAACGCTAAATGTTGCATCCAACTCCATTCTGGATAAATATTCCAATCAATATTTTGCCAGATTCAATTCATTTGACAATCATTGCCTGAGGCAGGTTGTGCCTAGATGTCTGTACCAATTTGGTACTGGTTTATGATTATTATTACTCAATAGATTCAAGGGCAGTCTCAATTAAACTACAGAACCATGCTATAAATATTTTTGAAGTTCGAATTTATCTGAGGTTAAAGAATTCATGACCCCACTTTGTGAGGTATTGGTCTCAATGTCAGTTTGATCTTCATTGTGATCTGTAACCATGAGACAGGACTGATAAATCAATAATTAAATGTCAAGCTGCCTTTACCTCTCTTTCTCCAACTGATCCAAAAGTGCTTCTTTCTTGCGTGCTCTGTGGTGATAAATCAACTCTATCAATTATAAAAGTAGTTCACCTTATTTGTAACATTGATGAATTAGGAAGTTCAACATGGTTAGAGCCAATGATTTTCCGTTTCAAAAATGGGTATTTTCTGTTTCACCAAATCCCAAATTCTGCTTCGGAAGTTCAAATTTCATTTCATCCCTTTGTAAGCATGAAATCGGAGAGCAAGTTTTAAACTATGCATGGAAACCATTTGCCCAACCATACCCCCTCTAAAAAAAAGAAAGAAAGAAAAGCAACAAATATCGTTTGGAAGTATTCTGCACTGTTTCCAACTTTTGGTAATTTCTGTGATGAAATTCAGAATCTGAGCCTTAAAATGTATGTTTTTGACTGAAAACCTCACTTTTCATCAAACACTTCGAGGGCCCATTCAGTTATGGCACACTAAGCTTACTAGGTTTCATTTAATTCAAGAAATATGTAATTCGTCTTCCATTTTGCTGCCTCAGTTTCATCGTTTTGCCATGCAGTACTAGCCTTGTCTCAAGGCGTCTATGCAGATTCACAGACTGAATTCCTGACGTGTGCAATAAGCATACATGTAGGTGACCCACTCTGCGAAAAAGGGTATTAAAGGATACTATGCTATTTCATACTAAGGGCTCCTTATATGGACATTTTGTTTTTTACTTCTTGGTTTATTCAATTCTATTAATGTAATATGATTATGCAAAAATCAATATATCTCCAGATTGCAAAATGCCACAGGGTTCAAACCTACACAAAATTAAAGCTTATATTTGAATATGTATGCGACTCATTTTGAAAAAAAAGCCCTATAATACCCATTTTTGAAGAGCCGGTCACAGAGTATGAGTATGAACTCGTTTGCCCCTTGATTTCAATGCAAGTATGGTGCACGTGTGAACGGCTAATGTGTGTGCCGTACCGCGCTGCTGCGCTGTGCCGGGTAGTGCTGCACACAAGGGGCTCACACGCCATAGCGCTTGCAAGAATCGGTAGCGGTGCCGACGACGGAGTGGTGTAATTTAGCATTTTTCCAGCATAATTCGTACATTAAATGGAAGCATTTTAATAGGGTTTGGTAGGCATTTATTTGTAGCAGTTTGCACCAAGTTTTCTTTACTTTTTAAGCCATTCTTAGTTGGAAATTTTGCAAGTTCCATCTCAAGTAGTGGATTCCATTTCAAAGTGTTGATTCTGTGAATTCCATCCATTTTCCGCGATCGCAGAAAATAATTGGCTCTAATTGGTAAACAATTTATTTCTCCAATCTGGTAGAGCAAAGCAAATGATAACCCCTCACCACTTCCGGATCAAAGTGCACAGTGCCAAAGTGAAAGAGGCCCAATATCATAAAAGCATCGAAAATGTGAATAGCATGTTTCATCTGCACCATACACTTCACAATTCACTGCCATTAAAAATGATATACAAATATCATCCGTAACTAAAAGTAAAGTTTCAAAAATCTATTACAATTTCACTCACTTTTCATTCATCTCCAAAAGCTGCTCAACAAGGTCAGTAGACTGCTTCTCAACTTAACAAAAGAAGAACAAGATTATGATGCATTAGTGATGTATATGTCAATGTTTCATTCCTTCTTCCAAATAGGTTATGGTTTTATTCTCTCAATACGCAGCTCTTTAATGTACACAATGTTTTTAAACAAGCTGCTCCAGTATCTTCACTTAAATTGCCCTTTACAGTGAAATTAAATTTCTTTATTAATTACAATAAACTCTCGATAACTCAAACACCAGGGGAATGGATAAAAAATTTGAGTTATCCGGATTTTGGGCTATTGAAAGTTCCCTAGTCTTACCCAAACATACACGCACAGTGCACATGTAACCCTACTTGCCCCAGGGTGGCTATTGGAGACATTATAAGTGGCTATTTCCTTACATTCAAGAATAAATTTCTTGTAAAATTCATTAGTTTGCTAAGATTTTCATGTGTGTTTTATGTAAAATGTTCTATTCTAAAAAAAAAAATGAACATAAACTAACAAAACTGCACATTAATGCCTATGCTTTCAGCGGGAATGTAGAATATGTTTAAGATTAACAGAGTTTTGAGTTAACCAACTTTATGAGTTAACAAGTTTACTATACTTGCAGCTTGTAAACTGAGAAAGAACAAGTACCTCTGCAGTGCAGGCCATATTGAAAAAGTTGATATTCTTGGCCCACAGTGAAATCACAAATATCATTAAACTTCATTCCTAAAACTGACATGCACATTAATGCTTTACCAAACAAGCAGCATCCCACTTTGGTCCTAAAGGGGTTAGGACTATGCATTACAAACACAAGGCAAGTAAATGTACGCTAAGGATTGACAAACTCCCACACACCATCATGTAGCATAGCAAGTAAGTTTTGCTTCTCTATGTCACTTCTTTCTTGTAGTGTCTTAATACCAGAATCCAAGTCAGCTTGTTCCTGAAAAAAAATTGTAAACAACAAATATTGAAATTGTAAGTTTGTCATGAGCAGGTACAGATCTAGACTTACAAGCTGTAAACACATACATGCAGATAACAAAGATAAGAGGTTAAAACTAAAGACAAAATTTCAGCAACAGCTTTTGTAAATTTCTGACAAGTTTTAGCATCATTGTCAGCATTACCGGTGCATCATTACTGTACCAGAGCCTAGGACAGTATATTTTTCATGTCATTTGAGTGAAAAATAAAACTTTGAGATGTTTTACGTACCGCTACATTAAACTTTAACTATCAATGCTACATTATTAATTAGTAAAATTGTTCCATTTCATCTGTGCTTTACGAATAATTTATTCCGTAACGATTAGTTAAAAGATAGATATGAATAGTGACCTTTTCCAATGCCTTGAGTAATCCCATGTGTCGTTGATCTGTCTGAATCATCAGTCGGGCTTGATCTCTCTCCATTTCTTCAAGTTCCTTTTCCATCCTTACCCTCTCTAATCTTTTTTTCCCCTGCAGAGGAATCCAATTGATTATAACAGCAGGGCCTTTGAGTAGTTCTGTAAACAAGGTTCAAGGGCGACTCTCAAAGGCCAATGTACAACCAATAGAAGTACGATGTGTAATACACAATATGTAATATGAATAAGTACGTATTTATCAGCCGTTGTTGACTGCTGTGATATGGGATATGATGAAATGAACACCTGAGGGATGCATAGCCCAAGTTAGTTCTTTTACCTGAAGTTTCTCATACTGCATTATGCTGTTACTCAAACTGGCTTCCTCTTGTTCAAGGCTCTGGAGTGATGGTTTGTCTGTGACAGGACTTATTTTGGGAGGATCCAGCACACTCAGAACATGTTGGGATGGTGGACTGTAATCAATACCACACTCTAAAATGGAATTACATGGACATGGTAATTAACAATGCAAGTAATCCATAGACAAATGAACTTTGTGTCAGGGATATTAATTTTCATAAGCGGTTTTACGGCAATGTATATATAAATTTAAACCACTGCAAGAACTTGCAAAAAATTCACAAGCTTACTAATTTCTTTGCTGTACTGGAACCCCCCGTCCCCCCTCAGATCCAAACTTTGCAAACAATATTACGTATTAGTGGGGAAGCATCCATTTGCATGTAGGCCTACATACCTCCACAAAGTGACTTCATAATTGCTTCAATACCCCGTATACACACACTCGCCAAAGGATGTTTCATGTTATTTGCATCCAGAGTCAGAGTCTGCAGAAAAAAGTAAAGACTCAAAGCATATATTTCGAATGATACAATAAAACAAGGGCCTGAAGAAGACGCATGTTGTACACTCAACTAAAGATTGATTTAATCAAACCTGTTTTAGAAATATAAAATAAGTGTTGAAACTCCTTGCTAACTTTCTCTGCATGATCTGCATCACAAATAACAGAAAAATTTTAGTACTAGACGTGCATGTATTAGGTATCTAGCATGCAGTTAAGGGCTAGTACTTATTGCCAAGAAACCAGCATGGAGGTACAACAAAGACATTGGCCCGAAAGGGTGCTTTTTTATTCCTGGCATGTAACTCAGATGCCTTTCCAGAGAATGTTGTATTAAAGGTTACACATTAAAGGTTATGACATTCACTTAGGTACTGGTCAATACTAGATAACTATTGAAATATTAGGCCCTTTTCATTGAAAGGGCAATATTCGTGGGATTTTAAGATAATCTATAATTTACAACCTCATGGCTACCAGGGAAGTGAAAACATTTTTCAACTTTCCAAATCCAACAATTGTAGTTTCCTCTAACCCCCTCAGCATTTTTCTAAATGGCTGACTCAACCCGTCAAATTCTGACACCCTTTCGCCGCTGAGTGGGTATATGTACTCAACCAGCCAGATTCCAACAGTCCACTTACTGTGTCGGTACACAACCCAACAAATTCCAACAGGCAGTAAATTGTTGGGTTTTGGTATAGAGTGGGGATACTTGGTCATATACTATGTATAGGAATGGAAACACAATGTACAGTAAACTAAGTCGGCATCGCGTAACCCGTCATATCGTTCAAGTCCCCTGGCCGACTCGCCCCTTACCGACTCGCCTCTTACCAACTCTCCCCCTGACCAACTCGCCCCTTGCCCAACTCGCCCCCTAGCCAACTCACCCCCTGACCGACTCGCCCCCTGGCCAACTCGCCCCCTGGCCAACTCGCCCCCTGGCCAACTCGCCCCCCTAAGTTTGCCAAGCACGTATGGCCGGCCCATTCACCATTTAATTTTTAAAAAATCCAATCAGTTGGAGATGGAATCGGTGATTGCTGCCCATAAAAATAGGTTTTGGCATTTGTAGCGGGCACCCAAAGTTGAGAATTATGATAGTTAAAATATTTAAAGCTTGGTGGATGTTCCCCTTCTGTGGAATTTGGGGTAAAAATATTTTTTAATATTGGTAAAACTAATTCAGTATTATCGTGTCAGGTATAACTATCTAGTCAGGTATAACTAGATAGGGAAACACCAACAGGAAATTGACAAGATTAGAATGTCTTTTTAACTACATCACATCTTTTCATTAAAAAAGCTACCGGGAGAATATACGTTCTTTTTCCCCTCTTCTTTTTGGCGTCCCTTCTGCGAACCTCAGTCACAAACCCAAATATTAATGGGATGGAGGGTTCGAAGTTTTTAATCCTGAGGGTATGTTGGATGTACAAATAACCTAATCAGACAGTAGATGTGGGAAGCGCTGAGACGTTTGAATAAATAAGTGATTAGTGGTGATGTCCAAATATCCATCACCGTCTGTGAGTCGTTCTTGTCGCTTCATTAGAACCATTCGGTTTTATTTTACACACTGGGCCGGCCATACTTGCTTGAGGTTCCTAGGGGGTGAGTCGGTCAGGGTGCAAGTAGGCCAGAGGGTAAGTCGGCCAGGGGTCGAGTCGGTCAGGGGCGAGTCGGTCGGGGGCGAGTCAGTCAGGGGTGCGAGTTGATGAGAAGGGGTGAGTCGGTCAGGGGGCATGTTGACCTGACATCGCATGTTTTTCTTGGTCCCTTTTCCACAAAACCACAAAAATTCTTCTGTGTAAGTCGGCATTAAAAAAAATCATGCTTCCGTATCAGTTTCCTTCACCGCAGTTGCCAAGAAGTGTCAAGTGACAAGTCCCGTAAACGCGCAGCAAGCATGAGTACATCAATACCAGTAACCCCTCATAGTGCTACTTTCATGCACTCTGTCCATTTTGGGGGTCGCCTTATTGAACGTAGTCTGGTTCCCTGCCCAAAGAATCCCTGACGACCCATGATAACGATTTGTCAGGTAGCCAGAATCATCGGGTCTGGTATCCAGACTATATTGAACGAACTTAACCAATGCGCGTGTGTGGTGGATGAGTGTATGTTTTCTGTACCGTAACTGTATTACGTACATGTACGTACTGCACTGTCGAGTCAAGATGTGATATGCAAGTGGCTTGCAGTCCTTGCTTCATCCTTAACGGAACATGATCAATCAAATTTGCAGCCCGTGAGGATAATAATCAAGAATAACTTTGCTGGGATCAACCATGGAGGTAGAAATAAACCAGGGTAAATCAAAGCCATTGAATCAGTGCAAGGAATCATAATGCACATGTACATAGGCAATACATGTGTGCGTGTAAGTCGGCAAAATGCTGACTTACAACACAAGTCGGCAGTCGCGTAAGTTGTAATAATTTCTAGAGTCCCAAGAGTGCCGACTTTACTGTACTCGTCCCTTCAAGATCCAACAACTGCAGGGTTATACAAAATTACATTTTTGGGGGGGTTAGGTTACTTTGTTTTATCTTTGGCTTCTCTGAAAACAGCAAGGTCACCGAACACACTGGGGCAATTTACATGTATTTCACTCCTTAATGACAGGTACATGTACATGGCCAAATGACTCCCTTTACAGGCACACACATACCAGCAGCACTATTCATCAGACACCCAGCAGCAGGTACTGGGCAATACCGACCATACCCAGTAAGTCAAAACCCAACGCTATTACATGTCCTGCATCTGTACAATACAGATCCCATCAGAACCCAACACTTTATGTACATGTGGTAAGTTTCATACGTACACAGAACTCAACGCATCAAATTTCCACAAAACTCTGCCGTTGCAAACTGAAGGGATGGGGAATGATAGGGTTTTTACATTTGCAACATCTGAGAATTAAGCCTTAGTCACCTTGTAGAGCAGCCATCTTACCTCAAGCGTCCGAATGTAGCATAATTTAGATGGCAACTCCTTGATTTTATTGACAGAAATGTCCAATGATCTCAAGGACTTCATTTGGACAATACTCCCTGGTAGTTCTTTAAGTTGATTACCTATGCATCCAATGGAAAGAAACGAAACCAGTTTGAGGAAGCGAGCAACCCATACAATCATATTCTGTATATTAGCCTTGGGAATCTTTGCAGCAAATAGCATGCCATTACTCTACACAAGCACCCCACAGCCAGCCACCCTGCTGTTTGGCAGGTATTTCAATACCGCATGTTGTCTACTGACTTGACAGGTGTTCTTTGTTAAGTGCTCTCACACTGACTATCTTTCATTTATTTTCAGTCTTTTATTAATGTTGCAGGTAAAAGGTGTTCTTTTCAAAATACATACTGTAACAATCATTTATTTTTGTGCCAGCCACAGCAGTACTCATTAAATGTCTTACATACCATTGCCTGGCCTAAGCCAGATGTGCCCCTAGCTGAGGCCACACAATGGAATGCCACATAAGATTAGCCATTCTTTTTTAGTGTGTAACTGGAACTTCCTTTGTTAACTGACTTGTCACTTTCCTTTGAAACCCTTTTGTTTTTTTAGCCCAGTGTGAAATTGGGAGTTGGCTGTGTTGGTTCGTTTTATTTTCTTAGACATTAGTACCAGTGGACAACTCTGCACTGCTGCGGCTTGGTTAATGAAATGTAAGAGTTGGATAATTTAATTCCCCTCCAACTATTTTATGTTTAATAAACTACTGACACTGTAAATTACTGGCTTTTGGTTATATTCTTTGTGATTCAGATTCAGAGGCCGTTACAATACATAGAAGCATTTGCAAAAAAAATTTAGAAGATGAAACAAAAATATAGGATGCATACATGTACCTTTAACACTAAGTGTCTGCAGAGCCTGCAGTTTGCCAATATCCCGTGGAAGCTTTTTGAGGTTATTGTTGTCCAAAGCCAACACTTGTAAGCCACTTATATCTGTCACTGCATCAGGTATCTCAGAAAACTTATTGCCATGTAAATCAAGTACCTAAACAATTAGATCAAAGGCACAAATAAATCCATCCAATAAAAATGTTCAAAACATGATATCTTTACAATTTCTTGCAAGGTGTCACCAAATATTTATTATACATACATGATGTAAAAATTAACAGTATGTAAAGGTGCAGTGTTACAGCCAGCCTTTTTTCAGTGCAGGACAATCTGGTAATGGCGAACAGAAAGAGTGAAGCAAAGCCGGGGGTCCCGGTCATGGCCAGGGTCCAAGGACCCATATAAGGGGACTTTAGATCGCTTTTTCAATGAGCTTTTATACCCAAAGTGATCAAGAGCTAAAATTTTTTTTAATCTTCCAGGTAAAAAAATGAAATTTTCTCAGTGACTAATATTTATTCTACGCTTTTTAAGGGTTTTGAGCTGGTCGGTGGACAGTTTCATCAAGCTTAGTACCAGACGGTAGAATGCTGTTGTTGAGATCCTCGACTAGCACCAACAGGCATAGCTATAACACCGTAAATGTGCATGTACCTTTGAGGTCACTGATGATAGTTAACACACAACTGCTTTTCTACGGCTATTTTCAAACAAATTAAAACAGATTCTTTTCCTGTGCTAAAACTAGCAAAATATCACCAGAAGATAGTGATAAGACAAAGAAATATCAGTCCTTCCTTAAATATAAACTCAAGTACTAAGTTATAATTCATGTAAGTTGCTTTATGAACTCACCCGTAACATAGCTAAATCTTTTATGTTGCCACCTCCTGATAGTGACGACAAGAAGTTCTCACTCAAAATCAGGGCCTGTGGTTCAGAAAATAAAAACTGATAGCCTTCAGATTTCATTTTCAATACAAGATTTCATACACAGACCTGTCACAGTCACTAGGCCACATAGCCAAGAATAAGTACTGTGGGTACTAAATTTAAAAAACAGGACAATTGCTAGGAGAATTGTTATCGTTTACATGAATGAAAAAGTCACAGCCATGCGTGATTTTAGGCATGAATTTCTCAGTTAAAACTGTCCTTGCAACAAAGTGCACTACAGGTTCAGCCTAGTTGTCCAAACCATGTGAAATTGAAAGATCTTTCAACTAAATGGCACAGAAAAACATTGCGTCAGCCGAGAAACCTTTAACACACTAGCGTTGCAAAATTCATGAAGAGCATATAAGCTAATCAAAAATTAACACTCTCGTGAAAACTGGTTGTATTAATACGTAAAGTGTGATCACAGTTGCCTGTCAACACACTTTTCCTAGACAATCTTTTTGTGGATCAATTTCAGTTATTATCTCATTGATAAATCCTTCATGCTTCAAAGTACATGTATACCAATGTAATGCTCATTTATAGCAAGGTTACAACAGGGTTGTAACACAGTCACAGACAGTGAATTTTTATTGGTTGTGAATTGATCGCATGATACTGCTACAAGCGCGCATGTATCATTCACGCATCACATGCACTGGCGACGTTACCCAGCCACAAACAATAATGAACAACGGTGATCTTTCCACAATTGACGCGTTGTGTTAACTGCATTGTAATTATATAATTTTGAGTACGAAATGTGGATAGCCATGATGGTACTCTGTGCCAATTATTGTAGGAGATGTGCACTGTTTCAAGGACATTGAAGCACTGTTTCCGTTCACATGGCTAGTTTCTTCACGTTGATCATGACAGAGGCCCGTGGGTTATGAGACTTCCATTCGTGCACTCAGCAATGCTTGTGGAACACAATAACATGCTCTGATCTGTTTCTGCTGCGAAAGCCATCGCTGTTTATATAAAATGCTTGTGCCGTTGTCTTTTCTCGTCTGCAAGTAATCTATGACCATGGTATAACAAAACAATTGTTGCCTGCAGTGGCAGGGTCCATGGGTTTGTACACCCTCACTTTGCCTCAAGTGTCATTTGCCCCTCAGGTGTACAAAACACCATGGACCCCCACACCACAGGCAAAAATTATTGACTAGAATATGACTTACTTCTTTCCTTAATACCTTGCACATAGAGAATGTGCCACTGGGAACCTGCATTCAGAAATTAAAATACACATGAAAAATGTTATCACATACATGTACATATACTGTACATGCACATATATAAACAGTAAAGATTAGAAATGCAACAAGTATTTATATGATTATCAATGAAGTATATTCATACATTTACAAGGGTAATTCAAGAAATTAGGGGTCCATTTTTTTGTGTCTCTGTCACATCTGACATACGATTTTGTAAGTTCGGAACACACTGTCTAATTTCCAAGAGTGATGAATTAGTGCAAATTACCTGCTAAACAAATAGTAACAGTTTAAAATTAATTCTGGTAATATTTCCATGTCAAATACCAAAGGTCAGATGTGAAAAAAATGTCACACTTTTGGACCACTAATTTCTGGAATTACCCACCTATAATCTACAATCATGGGTCAGAAGTTCATAGCATCTTGTCAGTATCCCCTTTGACGATGTCTTCTCAACATGCATCACAAAGGGGATCTTGTGTCTTGGATGTAAAATAGACAACTGGAACAGGTGTACATGCACCTACATTTCGATGCTTTTTGAAAAGTAAGTGATTTCGTGTAGTCTTTTTCAAAGACCTCAGTCAAGATGCACATGTGAAGTGCTGCATTACAGACCTGTGCCATAACAATAACCCTAATTCCACACACAAGCATAGTGCAGTTCAACTGACATAAAACATTGCAACCTTTTATCTGGGACCAAAACCATTTAGTGGTATTTAGCTTGAAGACTATTTGTTACATATGCATACCTCCGAAATTTCACAACGAGAAAGGTCATAAGTTGGCTCAGGAGATTCTGTTGCCTGTAAATTGAAATTTAAAAATACAACTTAGAACAACAGATTTTTTTAATTACATGTATATTATAAATTATGTATATCCAGCTCATATAGTAGGTGTACATGAAATGTACATGTATGTACTTTCCAACTGTCACAGTGTCAGCTTTATTTTTGCTACATAATACGTATGACACACTTTGCTTTGGGAGGACACTGTCTGTTGATGTTTGATACCCACTCTAGGTCTCATCACAAATAGTAGGCACAATCAGTCTGTTGGTTTCCATAGGCATGTGCTGATGTGCTCAGCTAATTAAGTTGTAAAAGCAGTTTTTGTCTCAGATATGCAATCCAGGGAAGATGGCTGAAGCCACCAAAGCTAGTGGCTTCCAAAGGCAAGTGTTATATTGACTGCTGTAACCAAGCAACTACTGTACATGTAATTTAGACAAGGCCTTTTATTTACCAAATATTGGCAGTGCTCCATCCTCTTCCTTGCACTCTCACTCTGTCTGTGTAGAAGCTTAGGCATGTTGATTTGATGAATGCTGTTGTCTGGATTCATTGGAGTAACATGCACAGTCCCAATGCTTGATGATGTGAGACCTCACACACACCTTGCAGTCAACTCCAAACCAGCTGACACTGATTAAACTCTTCAAGTAAAAGCTGAAATGCAAGAACCAATAGCTAGCCGACATCACAAATCCACCGTTAATAAAACTGCCTACTGGTTTAAAATCACTAATTTGAGAAGACATGATAGAGGAGGGGGGAGAATCTCTGCATTCATGCTAAAACTTAAAAGCAATTCCTTTTATGCATACAGACATGTCTGTATCTAATAAGAGCTTACGTGTAAATAGTACAGGTGCAGTACTGATCTGTACTCTAAATGAGGGCAAGTTAGTGTTTTTTAGTGAGTAGCACACAAGTACACAAACTGTGCTTCATCAATTAACAGTTGTAGTAGCAAAGTTCAAACATAACGCTGGTCAAAACATCCGGGGACCATCCAAACCCTTTTTGAAGTCCACCGGCAGACCTGTCAAAAGAATTGCCAGCATTTGCCATTTACTGATCAAAATGTCACAACGCTGCTTACAGTGGCTTTAGTATTATTACCGGTATGTGTTCTGAAATGAGGGAAATGGTGAGGGATGTTTGATGTACATGTACTGTAGGCCTAAATCCTTTCATATCTTGGGACAAAATGCAACAATAAATGTGCAACTGTACTCACATATTCAACCAACAAATTGGAAAAATTTATTTTTGCCCTGTCATGACTGTGTAACATACAAAAAAGGGCCACTCGAAACCTTGCATGCCTTGACACGCCAGGCAAGATGTGGCTTGTACCATATCCATAAACGTCCGGCTGGCCAATAGTATAAATGGAATCGTATAAATAGTTATGGGGAAACCCTGATAGTACTAGTAGTAGGCCTAGGCTTACTAGTTAGTCATGTTAGTCTACTAACATGACTAACGTTATTATCGTCCGGGCACTAGAGATTGATCAAAAATCTTGTGTGCGTCATTATACCTTCCTCGGGGATATGTTACGCCCCAACTATAGCATAAGTCCCAACTATAGTTGGGACAGTCCCAACTGTAGTGCTGCAGTTGGGCTGGCCCAACTATTGTTGGCCAATGTCTGTGGGAAATGTCTCAACATTATCCAAGTCAATGTGTCTCACACTTGACACAATTCATCAAAAATGAGGCACTTAGCCCTATGACCAATGACATGACATTTGTAAACAATGTGACTTTGTCACATGCTGGGCACATCATGCACACAGGACCTCTCTGCTGTAGTTGGGCCGGCCCAACTGTAGCACTCTTGTTGGGACGGCCCAACTATAGTTGGGCCTGATGCTATAGTTGGGGCGTAACAGATATATTGATACGTGTATGATGTAGGCCAAGGCCTATGGCAAAAAAAAAACACTTTTTAGTACATGTAGGCCGAGCTACATAGGCCTATTTCCCCACTCACTGCGCTCAACAATGAGCTTGCCAAATTTTATGGCCCTTTCCCTATCTAAATGATCCAATATGCTTTAAAACGCTTGCCTGATAAAAGTAACGATACAAATAACTCACCAATGAGGCTTAACTTTGGGCCATAGTGCCCATGCGATATGCTTACTCAGACGCACACACTGACTTGACAGTGACAGTCAGGTCATCAGGGGCAGTCAGTCACACTCTGACAGTGACACCGTTTTCACCGTTGGCTTAGAGCTCAATCATATGTAAGATCACTGAGCCAGACTAATAATAGCAGATATATGATCCTATCCACGAGAAATCAAAGGTTGAAACACACCAAACTGCAAACACGACTGATTCTTCTAGTACAACTACATGCAGACACGGCAGGGAAAAAAAACGCAGCAATCCTCCATTACAACATTCTAAAAATAAGATAAGGAGCTAATAAATAATTCATTGTCAGTCAGCCGACGGAACATACGGTGTCCTCTGAATGTCAAAAAAGAATTATTTAGTTTGAAAATTATTACTTGAGCCTTCAGGGCTGCGTTTCAAATTGAAAAGAAAGGTAATCCTAACAAAACTGTATCTGTGTAAGAAAGTCAGCAAAGATCCACAAGAAACAGCACACCAAATGTAATAACAACAACACAGCGACACCGGTCAAGTCCTGGACACGCTTGAGCGGTTTCATTATGCAAGACAATAACATCAAGGTCGATTTCTCTAAATATCTTTTACATAGGCCAAATTATCGACGATTGGAGATAGTTATTCCCTGAGGTTGTCGCTGTAAAAGTCTGTGAATATAATAACCGCAGGTTCAATTTACAGATCCGAAAACTTACAGCTAGAGTTCTCCTTTCATTCAGCTCGCTGGTACATAATATAGGACAGCGTAGATTAGACCATAATAAACAACAGTTAGTGCGTCTCCAAGTAATCTTTTAAGAGAGGGATACAAATTTTTACTGTAGTAACATATCACCAATCCAACATTTGGCTTTTCACAATAAGGAGTGGCAACTCCGGATCCTATAGGATGCACCGACAATCAAAATAAATAACAAGATCAAACGGTCTTCTGGAATTCCAATATTCTGTATTCCAATATTTACAACACGAGCTCGATATGGTATTAGAAAGTGAACGTCTTACAGAATTATTTAATTATTTACAGGTCTGTGATTAAGTCATAAAAAATCAATTATACTCAATTAGTCAATCAAGTGACTCTGGGATCATCACAACAATCATAAAAAAGAAAGTTTCCATCAGATATCCACTTTAAATTATTGACATAGCAAAATTTATCGGTCCACCATCTGTTGACATTTCTGTAAACCCCTGAATCTGGTGTCTAACAAAACCGCATGTAGATCAGCCCAAAGTTAGGTCAAGCAGAGCAAGTTCAGAGTCTATGCTCCTTAGGGACTCTTCTCAGTCATCGTTAGAGTCAGTGGGACCAGTCTCAACATAAGGCCATCCACAACAAATATAAACCCAAAACCTTAACAGTTTTAAAGAACTAGCGAAATCATGCTCTAATTTGTTTCCTTTCCAACCTTGATCTCCACAATTCAAAATTACCACAAATCTTATATCATTATCCTTATTTTCATAAATGTAAATTTCCGACCTTCGCGAAAATCATCAGCCTTGATCTCCAGGATCAACTTAATAGTCTTACTACTACAATTATGACGAAACTTCATCATCTGCAGGCTTTTACTTCGATGTATAAAAGCAAGAAAATCATCAATATTACAGCACTTACGGTAATTTGCTGAACTTGAGAAGTAAACTGTTGCCGTGAAGTCGTTAATGCCGACCGGGACGTCTATGTGGCTGAGCTAAAATTAGGCCTTAGTTTGCTAATTCTCACGGAAACAGATTTTCCGTCCTTTTCCAAAGTGGTCAAACAGATCCACATCAAAGCTAAATCTGCTGGCTCAGATTTCTGATGCTAGGGAGTCAAAACTGGTCTTGCATCACACAGTCACTCTCCAAACCTCTGTCTTTCTCAAGCAAGTCACAATGACTTCTGACTCTGTATCTCTCTCTCGCATAAGAAAACTCCAACATGCACCCAAAGATTCTAACTGTGTCCGATTGTAGAATGCGACCTATTCTTCATCGACTGGCGTGATTTGATTCACAATAATAAGATGGGCGTTCTGACAATTACTGGTACCACGGCCTGAACGAAATACCGTTACGTAAGACGGGAAGGTGTTTTCCCACTTCGTGAACGCCTTCTCTGAATGACAGAGTTACGTCTACGCGGGAATAACGAACAAATGATTGGCGAAAACTTTTGGACGATTCCATTACCTTTGGGGTAGATTGATATATACTCAGAATAAAAACAATGAACGGAACACAGTAAAAACATGATCGGAAAAACACAACATTCAATTCATGCACTGGTTGCACTGTAACACATATATTATTCGTTTAAAAATGCATCTGTTCGATTGTATTCAATTTATTTAAAATACCATAACAGATGCATTTCTTTTCTTCTTACAAACCATAGAAATGTATTCATTATTTTTTCCTTGCTTGAAGTAGGCCTGTGCACTCATGGGTATTTTATAATACGGTTCTCCATGCAAATATATTCATATACTTCTAGCAGAGTACAATAATAAGGGTTTTAATCTCGAGTACAGACATTATTACTTGGTAGTTGAAACTGGAAATTTAAAAGTTATTGAAACCTTATCTTCTGAGAGGAAATGAAAGGAAAGATTATAAAGATCTTTTTGTTTGAATTAAGTGCAACTTTTGTCTTAATATAGCATCAGGACGAACAAACATTTTTGTCAAGAATTTTTTTTTTCAACTACATAAAACTTCTTTGTCTCCCGGTTTGTTCCAGCATTGCGGCCGCAAAGTCCTTGACGCACTGGCTTAGGAGGCCTTTTCTTTATCTTTTTTCGGAGCATGTGAATGGTTTGTGTTCACTCTGTTAGTTTGGTAAGACATTAGAGTGCCTGGGATACTTGTGTGCTGGATTATTTTCAGACTGCGCAACCAATGAATTCCCATTAGTAGCTTAAGGGTTATACTGTTTTTTCTTTCGAGTCGCTTTTATTCTAGTACCATGTAGGATTCGAATGACTGTGCTAGGTATATGCAGTGCAAATGTTAGAGCGTTTCCCCAATGACAATTAACGTTTCTGTGTCTGTCCAATTTCTATGAATTTCTTTTCCTTTTCTGCTGAGGTGGGGGTTTGATTTTTAGGTAATTTGGCGTCCAACTTGTTCCCGAGATCTTGAATGACATTGTTTTCGTTGAGTTGACTTCTATGGCTTTCGTGAACATTTGCGTTTGAATTTGCCAACATTGTGATTGCTTTTGTGCTTTATTTGTATCCATGTTGCTTTGGCCCTTCTCATTATTTGATCAGTGTGATCAGCGTGCTAGAACGTATAGTTTTGATCGGATTGTAAAGCGGGGTCTCATGAAAATCGTAATACTCTTTCCTTAATATCCAATGTGTATGTGCAAATTTTGCATCCAGTAACTGGCAAACTCGTGAGTTTCTTGACAGAGGCCTTAATTAAGTTACCCCACTATTTACTTTTTAAAAATCTCTAAATTTCGAAAATTTGTGACGAGAATCCCTTAGATACATATAGTTACTTCGTTCTACTCTTGATGTTTTCTACATATAATCCTTTATAATTTATATTGAGGATGGAAAATGCAACAGGACTGTCATTCACTTTCGAGGTTAACGCATTCTAAGAGTGACGTACGTGACAGTTGTTTCACCAGATTAACAGTGGTGTTTGTCTGTACTAAATGTATTAAAAAAAAGTATGCTTATATTTTATTAATCCATATAAGTGCAGCAATATTGAGCAGTTTAATCAAATAAAATTTCAATCTGTGAGTTTTTAATGATTACAAATTGGGATTAACATGGATGAAGACATATCACAGTCAGGGTTATATGATGCTATGCCTCTGTATGTAACAGGCCATTCCGTACATCTGCCAGAGATCAATTCTAAATTTTACTGTATCTAGGGAATAGAATGTGCGACAGAGGTCAAAAATACACACATTTAAACCTTATTAAAATGCTTCTCTATCCGCGGGCATCACTTAAAATCAATTTGCCAAGCATAAGCCCAGGGACCACATTTGCAGAGCCAGTCACATAATATGTTTTAATATCTATACTAAGTCTTACCACTGTTCTTGCATGCAACATCTCTATTCTCGTCAATGCTGCGAGTGAGCTGTGCGGCAGGGGAAAGCAGAAGGGTCTAGTCACACACGATACAGAGTGGAGACACGGACACTGTCCATTCTGCGCGGTTACTGCAGCGTGGCCTTACTGGTTAAGCCTCAGACACGCTTGAGTCATTTAATTGGGCAACACAACACCTTCCTTAAAGGGTAACAGAAATAGAAAACATTAAATTCAGTGAAGTGTTTTAAAATAACAATAAATACGTAACCATTTCAGAAACATTGTAAATTCAACGTTTAACTCATTAATTGTGACCCCTAAATGACTAAAAAAAACTTTTGGCCGTTCGCGTTCCCAAGCTGATTAGATGACGTCATCGCCAGAACCCTCAGTTGCGTTTGATGTAAATGTTTTCTATTTCTGTTACCCTTCAATTTGCCAGAACTCTCCGCAACTCTTCTTTGCATGCACACAGTTGACATCGCAGTGCATGCCGTGATTATTGCCGTTCATGGGCATATCCTAGGGGGATTGACGAGGAAAGCATCAGAAAATAATGAGCCCAGATTGGTCAACGACAGGGGTGGGTGAGCGTCATTACGCAACCCCAACACCCGAAAAAATCGAAATTTTTTGTCGTGGGGAAAAAAAGATAGGAAAGAAAAAGCAAAATCAGATTCAAAGAGGGTCAAATCGCCAGTTTCATGAAGTGCCAGCAAATTGGCCGCTTCCTCACTACCCCCCCCCCAACAAATCAAAGACCTACGACGCGACAAGATATTTAACGGGTGAATGGAGTTCGGCTGGGGAGAGGCTAGGAAATATTAATGATGCTTTAGCTTACAGATCCTCAGCATTTATGCATAGTAAATTGCTATTGATATTGGGTGTGGTCTACTTTTATTTCTAATTTTTATTTTTCAAAAATAAATTCAGACTAATCTAAAACTTGAAAGATCCTTTATGCGGAGGGAATGAAACCTTTCACGGTGTGAATCCGGAGAGTGTTATCTTTTTAGTGTACAATCACACCAATTTCACATTCCTCCCCACTGCATGCATGAGCATGCAGTGGGGAATGAAAGCAGTCTGATTTAGTACCAAGCAGTATCAAGCATGCGAAGGAAAAAATCAAGCAAGAATTACCCATTTAAAAGTTGTCTGCTTGATTTAGACAAAGCTGCAGAAACATTAAATGTTTAGAGGAAACAGCTAAACTCCAGCATGGTTCTGCTGCAGTAACATTTCAACACTTTATTCAGGTTATCATCAAAATAAAAGAATAAACATTAATTACACAATGTGTATGTAAACAACTTATCTACGTAATTCAATGTTTAGCAATTTTAGTTTTGAAGTTAACATGTAACTCAGATTATTATTAGCTACTTAGCATGGTTTCAGAACAAGCACACTGTTGTTTTTGGCCATTTCTTCCTTCGATGTCTACACCTTTCTAGACAACATTTTTAAGGTTTTGGAAATTCGGTAGGTTTTCAAGACTGAATATAAATCAATTCTAATACAGGTAAACAAAAATATCTGAAACTTAAATTTTTCTTTTACACTTTCATTAAAACATGTACATGTAAATGTACATTTGCATATAGCTGTGAGGAACAGCGATGACAAAATTAACACTAAATATCTTGAAATTCCAAACAACAAAATTCATTCGACAATTAAATGGTAAAGTTGGGTGCAATCAGATGTGCATAATTTCTTGCGTTTTCTGTGATATGTAAATATTTACTGCAAAATTTGTCAACAATCCCACAATCAGCAAATCACCTTTTCCTTCCAATACACAGTTGTAAAACAAGTTAGGTTGAAGTTTTCATGCAGAATCAAATAAATCAGGCAATCATGAAGATCACATAACAAATTGAAAAGTATAAGAATTTCTAACTTAGGTTCTCTTGATGAGTCAGTATTTACTGACGACGTTCCTGTTGAATTTGGGCAACAATCATGTGGATTTTCTTGGCAGCATTCAATGTGCTCTTCTGCTCACAGACTGGGATGCTGCTTTGTTGCGAAAACCACTCACGATGCCACTCATCTCCAATCCATGGCTTCTCACAAGTGGGGGACTTCTTTGTACTGACAGTGTGTTGGTTGACCGGTTGGATGTCTTTCAGATCCGTAATAGCATCTGCCACTTCAAAGTTCGCATTGAGGGAAGGATTGGCCCAGAATGGATTATTTCCTTGGGGAAAAACAATCCACAAACTTATCTTTTCACTACAAACCTTTTTATCATCTGAAAGGACTAAGAAGAAAATAATGGAAATTACGATTTCTACAATTGTGAAACTTTTCCATTTCCCAGAACATTTTCTGTATTACCAAAATGCAATGCTTTTTCAACATTTGGATATTACAGATTAACCATAATGAATTAATTTATTTAATTTCAGAAAAGCTAAATAATTTTAATAGTCAAGACCATTATTTAGTGGTCATCTTTTCTCAGACGATGTAACCACATTTTCCCTGCAAAAGATGTTAAAAATATAAAGCATCTAATAAATCAGTCTGTGTCATTTTCAGACATGAAAAGGTTGGGCATTATCCAACAAGTATGGCAACTACAGCTGGAACCCTGTCAGTTAATTAAATCCTTGCAACAATAGAAACAAGTTGCACAAATATACATTCATCTCCAGTGACACAAATAAAGCAGTCAGCTAGAGTCAGTTGTGAGCAAGCATAACATAAACAAATGCAGAAAGATTTCTTTATGTTTTTGACAAGGTGACTGCAATATTTTTCCATGCATGAGTCAAGCCAGTGCTACTGAGCTTTTTGGTACTCACCCCACTGGTTCTTGATTTCTTCATACTGTCTTGGCAAAAACTTCCTGTCTTCTGTCATCCAGAAGTCATCCCTGTTCCATGTTGGATTTGTGGAAGTCTCCTCACAGGGGACACATTCACAGGCAGTAGGAGCCATGACTGTCTTCAGGTAAGTAGCACCATTATCGCAGGTGAACTCTGCCATCTGACGCTGGAAGCTGGTGGGACGGCTGTTGTGTGTAAAATTTGGAATTATTAGTAACTGGTCACTTTACAGCAGGTGTGAAAAAAGGCAAATTACTGGTGCAGGTCTTGGGAAATGAGGGAAGTTCATTTTTTGTAGTGAATATGAGTTAATTTGATCATGTCCATAAGTAACATAAGTTCAAATGATTATTGTATAAATCAAACCATGCCCAAAACATGAGGGTCTTTCAGAATATGTAAGAGTAAATATGAGAATTAGTATAAATAAATGTTGCTCAACACAAATGCACAATTACAGCTCTTTTTTCTCTAAGAGAGAAAGTTGTAATGCTGTAGACTGGCGGTTCACATGTTGCATTGTGTTTATGCTTCCCTTGATTCAACTCCTACCTGCACATAGGCATCAAGATCTTTTTCTTCTCACCAATACGGCCCAAAGAGATCACAACAGGTGATGGGGTTCCTGAGCAAGTGATATCCTTAACAATAGCATTGCAGGTGCCATTCCTCTGAGTCAAGACATTGGTGTAGGTCTCACCCCAACATACATTGGTCTTGTTCTTCCACCAATCATCTAAAAAAAATCAGCCGTGAAACTTCAAAGTCATTCAAGTAAAGTAGAATTACAACTTGACATGTATTTGGGTAAAATTATGTCAATCTATCTGGGCATGTCACAACACAGTGTGGTCAAGTCTTCTAGTCCAGTAATCTCAAGTTACTATGATAATAAAATATCTAGTCACTGTCAATAAGTCTAATAGGAAGTAATTACTCACAAGAAGAGGGTTTAACAAGGGCTTCAAAAGAGCGCAGTAGCATAGGTCCCAGATAAACTTCATAAGTCTGGTTGATAAGAGGAATAGGCTGGAACTTGAAGGAAGAAGGTGAAGGCACAAAGACTTCAGCCATTGGCGAGATATCAAACTGTCTCTGAGCATGAAGAAGAGCCTTTGTCACATTCCAACGCCAACTTCCTATAGAGATACACTTGTCATAATGTGTCTTAAGCAGTCATTTACTACGTTCAGTTAAGGCTAATCATTGCTCACTTTAATTAATAAGGTTTATACAATAAATGTACAAATTCGTTTTCGGAAGTAATAAATAACTTGCTTGGTTGTGAGAGAACTAGAGACTTTCTGCCTGGTTCTGACAAAGGAAAGATAAAGATGTTTTTGAAATGGTGGGCAGAGCTAATCAAAGAACGTTTAGTGACTGCTATAATATTGGAATAAACAGCAGTCATAAAATCCAAAATCATCCTTATCAAAGAAAATTTAATATACTGAAAATGTAAAGCAACTAAGCAATACTACGTGAAATCAACCATAAATAGTTTGTTCAGCTACACCACTAATTTACGGTGCAAAGTTTATGCATGGCGCAAATTTATGCCAGCTGCTATCTGCACTTTTTTAATATCATACATGCAAGTACCCCACCTGTCCTGTTATATGCAGTCAGAAGAGCTGAGTGAGGCACAGCACCAAAGCTGCACTCCTTCAGAATTTCTTCATCTATGGTGAAATCAATCACCTCACCAGAGTGACACACCATGACAACCTCACTTGGCAATATTCTGGCCGACCTAAGCATTCTCTGAGCTGTGTGGGCTTCAAGGAAAGAAATATCACCAGCTTGGTTACTCAGACACTCCAGACTTCCCTGGTAGTCAGAGAAGGGTTCCTGCATAGTCTCGGTGCAGTTAGACGCACCAGCTCCGGCACAAGCACTACAAAGTCTGTCTTGATGGAGCTGCAAATAAAGTGGAAAGAAATCATTATTGTCAGCATTGCAAAGGTGAATAATTTACATTTGTGTCTTCTCAGCCTAAAAATTGTAAAGACACTAAAGATACTATACACTGTCCTATCAACTGCAATGAAAATATCCTTGTACCTTCGTTCTTTCAAGGAATTCACTGATATCTGGAGAGTTCCAAATTGGGTTGAAGTAACGGTTGAACTCATGCTCACGTAAAGCTATACTGTCAAACAAGTCAATGTTGATAAAGCGACGACTGTAGACTTGAAGGAAACTCTGAAAATGAAATAACATTTAAGAAAACACAGTGTCATACTCCAGAAGTAAAAGAAAATTTGAGAGTTTTGAGAAGGTAACTTTACAGCCAAAGCTTTAGTCCTATGCAAAGTGATGCTGCAAGGCCATTTTCTACGGTAAACTTTAAAGTGGGTGATACAACCAACATTCTAGCAGTTGTATCTCTTGGCACTTACCTTAATAGCAGGGTGAGTGATCCAGCTAAACTTTTCCTCTTGTCTATCAATCATAGAAGGAGATTCATAGATGTATTCCAGAAAATCATTCAGTTGTTCTTTTATGTTGAAATGCTTGGAGGCAAGGTTGTTTAGCAAAGAAGTCAAAGTGGGCTCAGCTGACTGATATCTATCCAAACAAAAATAGCCAAAATAATTTCACTACCCTCAATTCACAACAGTGCGCCTCCAAGAGCTTGCAACGCGTTGGCCAATCACAATCTCTTGACCCATTGCGCATTTGGAAAGAGTTGACAAATTTGGCGCACTGTGATTAGTCAACGTATTGCAAATTCTTGGAGGCACACTATTGTGAATCGACTGTATTCACTGTCAGGGTGATTGTGGTGTCATATGCAAGGTCCTGCCCTTCCACTTGATATTCAGGACTGAATGATAAGTACTGAATAACTGAACACCCCCCCCCCATTCACTAGCTTGCTTATTAGGAGAGAGTTCATCGCCCCATATGTTGGCTGTATTACTGACAGAGGTTTAACTCAACATGTAGACGAATTACATGTAGTTAATATTTTATGAACATAAGTACATATTCAAACATACCTGTCAAATGGCTTTGATTTATGATACTTTGACTTGTCAGTAGACCTCAACCAAGATTGGGAATCCACTGCTTTTAATTTCTTGATCAATCCGTCAATGCCCCACCTAGTCTGAGACCTGACCTGATCTCTTGGAATCACAGTCTCATCATCAAGCCCATGGATTTCATCAGGTAACTGATCAAGGAGTTTAGACAAGTCCTTCAAACCTGACAACAAACACAATGTTTATTATACATGCACCTTACATGTTACATATATAGATTTTCTGCAGTGAAAATACTAGCATGGTTCTTAGACTTACTTGATGGTTCAGTGCTAAGGATTCTGTGAAGAAGTGGAGCTTTCCTTAGACTCACGGAGGACAACAAATCCTTGATCTCATTCTTGGTATTTGTCTTAAAGAAGATGTCAAAGAATCTGCAAACATTTGACCCAAAAAACTTTGATTTAAAGTTTTATCACTTAATGTTTTGTAAAACTTGTCAAACAAGTGTAAATATGCCCTAGTACATATTGAACAAAAATACAAGTAAACATTACGAACTAAATCAACTAAATCAAACCATTTTTCAAATACACCAAAAAGTGCATATAACATGTTTAAAGTAATCTGCTTCTTCCAGTTGTAATAATTTACCATTTAATTCTGGAGTTTTAGAATTCTAGTCTACTCACCTGGGGGACATTCCTTTCCAGTTGTAATAGTTCCAAGTGTTGGGCATGTTCATGTTGAACCATTCATAACCAGTGAAATTATAGAAATTCCAACCTGGGAAGCCCCAGTTGAGTTCATGACCGAGGATGAGGTCCCTATCCCATGTCCAATTTTGGGGGGCAGCACCTTTGGGCAAAAAAGGTTTTTTAATACAGTTTTAATACAAATTCTACAAATTATTTCATGTCATTATTCCACATACAGACCTTATGAGCACAGCAAACTAGCATCACGCACACTACTGATGTGAACATCCCCCCAAACAAATATTAAACCTTAGATCAAATGAATAACTTCCAACTCTAATCTGTATATATGTATTGCAATTCCTTTTGTGTCTCATGAAAACAAACTACACACTTCATTCATGGCTATGTGAATTATTACAGAGATTCTTTAGCTTATTTCAAAGGGAAGATTAATGTGAATAATATGGGTTTACAAAATAAAAATAATTACAAAGAGACAACAAAAGGAAGATGGGGCAACAAGGATGACAACAAGAAGTGGCAACACGTGAAAGTCACACAAACAGGTAATGTTAATAAAACTTAGACTGGAAGGAATTTAACTGTGACAACTGGTTAAGAAGGATTTAAAAACTGCAAAGATTATCAATTTGAGGAAAGTTTGACAGATCATACCAGGCAGGCAAGATTTCTCAAAGAAGCGGCTGATGGATTCAAAGACAGAACCAATACGAGGAATGGTGCCATTGGCCAGAAGCCAGCCAATAGGATGCTTAAATGATGACAGCTGTAAAACAAAATGAAGAGTTCACTTTTGTCAATCATAACATTCTTTACTACTAGCTCAAATGGTTTTATAGTATGAAATCAGCGTGGTTGATGTCATCCTGTTCATTCACTGGTGACTGAATAATAACGGATATCTACACCAAGAAACAGGCTAGTTATATACTTAGATTTAAGTTCGACCTATTCAAGACTTTGCAGATGTTTTAATTGGCTCTTATTACGAAGCACTAAGCAAAAATAATGAAGGCTTTGACTTTCTTGATGGAATTCAGTCAAGAAGTGACTTGGGTACTTTAAGAAAAACCCCAATCTACAATGAAATAACAACACTAAACTGTAAAGACTCATCCAACTTTGTATCACATACCTTACTGATGCCAGCAAAGCATGGATTCAATCCAGTCATGTTCAGGAATCTGACATTATTGCCATATTTCTCCAACAATTTCTCCTTTGTCATCACAGCAATGGTGTAGGTGTAAGTGGTGTTATCAAACAGAGACTTGCCATCCACTCGCTGCAATGTAAAAGCAAAAGCAATCAACAGAAATACTTATTACCAGGCAAATGTATATGCATATTGACAAAATACATACAGTCAGTGCTCTTAATTTATCTTATTGCTGAGCTTTCAGTAACTGGGTACCTTTGTCAGGGCAAGCATATTCAGTTCTGAATGAATGCAGAAAAATCCACGTTGATTTCACCTGGATGCAGCGTTCCAAGTTAAAAAAAGACATGCTGCTCCAGTTCCATACGCGGTACATACATTGTAGGATGCAGACGCCTATGTCATTGAGAGTTTGCGGTGGTGCACAAAAGTACTGTGCGACAGTGAGACTGGATGTTTGTTAGTGCACACTGTGCAAGCCTTGGTGACGGCTTTGTGGAACACTGTGTAAGCGTTCCGCGAAGCGGTCACCAAGGCGACACTTGGTCTCTCTGATGTACAGTTTACCACAGCGACGACATGTAATGCAATATACTACATTTCTGGTAATGCACGTATGATCCCTGCATACTCTGTAGGTACCGCAGGGGGCCAGCAACCAAAAGGCTGTTAATTATATGGGGGCAGGTGTTACATCTGGGGCACAGGCAAGGGGAATAACTGCCTGCTTGTGATGGCGAGACAGAATCTAACTGGAATCGCACAAGCACGTCCCTGGCAGAACGCTCGCACCTCAATGCGCAGATCACGGGGTTCGGTGAAAATGGAAGCTGCAGCTGCATCATCCCGAGTGTATGAAAATGTTTGAGAAGAACATTACATGCCGGGATATTACAAGGCTGGTATGTGATACCCTGATACTAGTTCAGCATCTGCTCCTCGATGTGTCCAACAAACAGACATGCATAACTTGGTCCCATCTGTGTGCCCATAGCTACACCACTGATCTGAACGTAGTGCTCACCGTTGAATGTGAAATCGTTTAACGTGAGCACCAATTCAGCCAGACAGAGCAGAGTAATGGTAGGAGGATCCTGAGTATGGCGAAGATCTAGACAGTGTTTGAGCGCAGTCAAACCACCCGTGCGGGGAATGGATGTGTTTATCAATTGTTTATCGATTCTTCATAGAATATTCACCAATTTTCCACATGTATATGCATGAATGTTTACATGTACTTCCGATTTCCTTGTTCAAACTGTCACTCTATAATGTGGAGTAAAAAATACAACTGTCATATAAGAACCACAAGCACACCCACGACAGCCTCAAGTGTTAAAATCATGTCAATGTAACTAGCGAAGATGTATCAAACTGACAGCACACAAAACACAACAACACAAGTCAGTGAGATATTCCACCATGTACTCACAGGGGCTAATGTATCAAATTCCTGACTCATAAATGGTTGTAGTTTGAATTCTCGTCCAGCAATAAACATCTCGGTAGGGTCAGCAGTTATCAAATCTGCAGTTCCATTCATGACAGCCTGCATGCATTCCATCTTGGTCTTAGCCAAGACACAGCCCCAAGCTACATCATTCGTCTGGAAACAAATGACAAATGTAAGGAAAGGAACAAATATTGTCAAGAAAGGGATCCCGTCATGGACGAAGTTTCTCTGTTGCAAAGTTAAGTATTGACAAAATTCATGCAATTAACGTTCAGTCTAGACAAAACTGTTGTCCAAATCATCCAACTGAGCACATTTCTACTCAAAATAACACCTGCCAGATAACATTTTAGTTTCTGTCAATTGTGTTCTCAGCTTTGATTCTGTTCTCTTGGAATGTGAAAATATGTCCCCAAAAAACATTTTGCCACACGGTCAATTTTCCACAAATTGAAAGCAACCTGATTTCTGACAAGGGCATCACAGAAAGTTCCAAAATTGTCAGACCCATTTTGCATATGAATGTCTCCCTGAACATTTTTCCACTTTGTCATGATTCATTGCTGTCTGTAGATATAATTTATAAATTCTTCATAGAATATTCACCAAATATGATTTTATAAAAGTTTACTGATTGACATACAATTTCAACGTGCTCAAACAGCCCTTTGTAGATCTTGCATCCTTCATATAACTCCGGCTTGGTGACACACACTCTGCACACAGTCTTAGGTACCAGCCTTTCCACAGTATCCATCAGCATAAAGAATGGCTCAGCATGTGGCTTGACTGCTTCATCAATGTTCATAAAGACATTGGATTCTTGCTTGAAGAGTATGTCAGAACTGTGACCAGTTGGGCAGTTGTACTCATCAGAGTCAAACAGCTTGAAAGTGCCAACTGCTTTACCACTGTAGACCTGTATTTTAACATGTAAAAGTAATGCCATCAGGTCTAAATTCGATCAAACTCAGAAAGACAAACATTGCGACCACAGGGATGCCAGTTGGTTTTCGGCCAGGATAGGGAAAATTTTTTCGTGGAAAACACGCACACACACCCTGATCAAATGTGGCTGCATAGTTCAAATAATGGACACAGACACATCAATTAGTATCCTGATAAACCAGGATGTATAGCTAGTTCCATTAGGCCTTGCATCAACATAACAGTGGGGCTATCAGCCAGACAAAAAAACAAGCAAACCAACCTGAACGGCCCGTGCCAAGAGGTTCTGTATTACAGCTTTGAGATCAGTCTTTCGTGGGCTGATGTAAACAGTTGGCTGCGGTACCTTGCTAACATGGCAATCCTTGGTTTCCCATTCAGTCAAAGGCTGGCTACCAGACTTACAGATCAGCTTGAATTGAGTTACAGCTGGTGGAAATCCAGCCAAAATAGACATAAAATTGAAAGTAAATGGCTAAAAAATGACTGGATTCATGGCACAATAAAATAGTGTATGACAACCTTGCTTATCTTGCAATGATTTACCTGTTGATTCTAGCAACAAACTCTGAACTTTCTTGTGATCAATGAAAATCACTTCGCCAACATCCTCCTTCAAACAGTGAACGGCACCATCAAGACCCTCATAGCGCAGGGAAGCCTCGCCTTCACATCTTGCCAAAAGGGACACAGGATATGTCCCATTCTTATCAAAAGTCTTGCTCAGAATACCTGTTTTTGTAAAAAAAAATCTACTCAAACAATTGTCAAACCTTTGTTTATTCTCAAATATCTTTAAAAGTACAGCTTACTGCTGATCTTGAACAGGGTCGAAATACATCTGTAAGCCTGATCAAGAAATATCACTACAAGATCAATGTGAGAAACATCTCACACCTATGTACTAGCAAACTGAATAAAACCTACCTGGCACACAACTCTCACTGAAGAACTCCCCTGCACTCTGAACAAAGTCTCCCTTTTGGGCAATAACTCCCTCCTGGATAAGACTCCCGATTGGGGTCTTGAAGCCAGAAGTACTGTTGGCACTAGTGATGCAAACTTGACGATTCTCAAGTTGAGCCCAAGTGTCAATGTTGGTTGTGATTTTAGCCACAGCAAGAGTTATGTTCTGCCACTCACTTGGAGGAGTTTGCTGTAAAAGATAGATTAATGACAATGCATCAATGACACCCCTCCACACTTGTAAATGTTGCAATGACAATTAGCATGGACTAAAACAAGTAAATCAACACCTTTATAAAATAAACTGTCTCATACTGTACAGGACATGCCAAAAGGGCAACGACAGTTTGATTCAATTTCAACATTGAAACAAAAATAAATGATTGTACCTTTGTCTGTGTACTTTCATAGGCCGCAGGAAGGAGATTGTATTTCGTCTTAGCAGTGTAGATATCTTCATTACGAGTTATCATCATATCAACAAAACCCTGTTCAACCCTAAATTACAAAAATGTACAATACTTAAATCTGTCATATAAATGATTAACGAATATTTGACTGAGCTATGAGTTGGCATTAACACTGTAATAAACGACCTAATTAACAAACCGATTGATCAATCACATGGAGCAATAATAGCTATTTTACTCAACCTTCCTATATCTTGCCACTGCAAAGTTTTTAGAAGCATTAGAGATTGTTTATGTGAACTTACCAATCCATACAATGTTCAGGTGATGTTGCTAAAGCACAGGCCCATTCTCTTCTTGGCTTCAGATTGTAAGTGAATGTGCTAGCCATGCGCACACATTTCTTCCACTCACAGGGGTTGGAAGTGCACACACTATGCAAGAACATATAAACTGGATTAAAAAGCCTTATTACTTAAAATGAATGTTTCCAACACAAACTAAAGAAATAAATTCCAAGTGACTAAATATGCTTTTGAGTGTCTTTGGACAGATTTTAGAAAAAAAGGAATCAATTTACAAATTTTGTTCAACAGAATTTCCTTTGTTGCATTAAGATGCCAAAACATTGAAGTGAAATATCAAATTAAGAGCTTAACATGCTTTTTCACTGCAGATACAGTGGCAAAAGTGGTTAACAAAAAGGATAGTACTTGGAATGTGACAATATCTTCAGCAGTTTTAAAGTATAAAAAATTTACAAAGCTCTGCATGAACTACTCAATAGTCAAATCAAAGAGAATTAATTTAAATCAAACAAAGATGGTTTAGGCAAACTGACCTCAGAGCATCTGTAGTATTGGTGAGTTCCTTGAAGAACCTTGGAGGTTCAGGAAATCGTTGAAGCTTCTGGACCATCTGACGTTTTTTCTCCACCCAATCCTGCCACTGAGACTCAATCTGCTCTGACACCAAGGACAGTGCATGTGGTGGCTGGTCTGGTTCTGCAAGGGTAGCAAATTTGAATCAAATCACAGATTATCAGATATAATTTTGCTTCCAATGATAATATTTCAGACTGACAGCCATCAGAGACAACAATCCATGCAATAATGTAATAAAAAGATGGACTACTGTAGATCTATGTTTACTTTACGGCCAAGTTCATTTTAATTTAAACTTTCACCAAAACATTCCAAACAATGATTTACGGATCGAAGATCAGAGTGAACAGTATGGTCAGGAGTTGCAAGATCTGCAAGCCTACATGTACAAAGCTTAGTTCACAAGCAATTCTTTGCAACCAAACTTACCAGGGGTAACAGCTTCCTGACACATGGCCCCACCACAAGGTGTCTGGCAACATTTCTTGATCCCATCACAATGACTGTCAGTCTGGCAGTCTGTCACACAAACCCCTGAAGTACCACGGTCAGCTGGAATGACTGGGCACTGACCAGGTTTGATGTCCTGTCCAGTCACTTCATCAAATACATCTTCACACAGAGGTACATGTACACAATGTATATGTAAAGGTCACATCAATTTAGTGAGTCAAGACAATAGAGATGAGTTCAATTAAACAGCCTTGGAAGACATAAATAACTTTCATTATAGGCAACAACAGGTGCCATATCCAGCCCACAGTAACATCTTCCAGAGCTACAAGGTTTGCCTCACTCTCAGGAGGATGGAGGACTGCAAATTCTAAGATGATCATGTAGGCGCTAAAGCATTGTTTGCTGATCTCATTCTCGATTCAGGTCAGTTTGCTGAAATGTTGAAATGACGGGAAGCGTTCCATATACAGATACCAGTAATTCTTCCCTACAGTGACTTAATACCATCTGAAAACAAAACCATGTCTAGAAAATTTCAATTTAGGAGAGAAAACACCAAGTCATTTACTTAGAAAACACTTAAGAATTTTTCCGACCAGTCTCATGGGGTTAATCCACAGGGTGTCAAGTGGTGTCCCTATATGGAACTCTTTCTGAAGCAAATATCAGCTCCCAGACTGGGGCCAGTAAAAATACGGAGGTAGTCCAGTACTAGGCCGCGTCCGAATTACTTGGCTATGGCTTAAAATTACACAACTCTACGAGAACTGGCCTCAAGTCACTACCATAGACTAGTGCGTAATTTCAGGCAACAGCCAAGTAATTCGGACACAGCCCTACTCCTACACTGACCCTAGTCTGGGGCTAGCTCATCCCATGCCTGCCAGTGACGCTAATCCATTCTCAGAATCAGTGGGAAGAGGCATAGGGCCTAACGTCTTTGTACCAAGGAGCTGTGGCCTTACGTGCGTTACGCCTTTACTTCGAAAATGCAGTTAACTTTCCATTGACTTTGTACACAGCAAAAAGAGTGGAGTAAGGATGCTGCAGTCTTTCCGTTGATAAAACTCAAAACATGAAGAAATTGGGGTATTTGAAGAGTGATGAAGGATACCGTGCGTCTAGGTGACGTGTAGGCCTATGCACAGATCCCGCAACTTATTGCATCTTGCGTACATGTGTAACGCTAACTTCACACACGGCGCACCCACTGATCTCTGCTATACTGTCAGTAAAGTAGAGATCGATCACCGCTCGCGTACGCGGTGAGGGCACCGCTCAGAGGTGGCAGCGCCCCCATGAGACTTTATAAGATAACTCACTTTATAAAATGAAACTCAAACCTCAAATTTGAATTCATCGTATTTTTTTTTACCTTAGAACAAAAAAACTTCCCCATGAATCTTAAAGGATACTGTAGAAATATTGGGCCTTAAATAACTCCCACAACTCCGATCAGATGACTTCGGCTGCCAGAAGATCAACTTAAGATGCTCAGTTCATGTCAAACTGATTCTAAACCACTGGGGGGTTGCTCACAATACAGGGTGACAAACATTTCCTACCCAAACTGGTCATGTTTGATCGCATGACTTCGCACTGCAATCAAAACTGTTTCTATTCTGACTATTATGTTAAAAACATTTATTTATAATTTTTTGCCATGATGATGGATTTTCTGGTAAAGGAGACAAATTGCCATTGGACGAAATAAACTTGAATTAGCATCAATTTTTCTGTTATTTCTCTTATGCAAGAAGCTCAAAATTGATGGGAAATTAAATTTAAAAAAAATACTAAAGTCTGAAAGAGGTGACGTTATTGACAGAACAACTGTTTCACTGCATCTGTGTGAACCCGACATCTAACGCGATTAAAGTTCAAACTCATTTCTCCGTGAAAAAAAATCATCTGAAGCCAGAAATCTGGCCAAAAAGTTGGTTTTGTGTGTTGTCCTTTCTGAAATAACACCACTTCAACGAGTGTCAGTTTAACAGGAATATATTTCATTTGGCTTTAATTGTCAAATTATTTTTTCAATCAGCTGAAAACTTTGATCCCCTGACATAACGTCCTGTCTTGCCCTTAAAATGATGCGGAAAAGAAATTCGACACTCACCTGTAAATGGAAAGGCTGAAACGAGCCCAATGACTCCAAAAAGAAGAAAGAAGTTCATCTTGATCCAATGACTACCAATCTTCTCTGTAAACTACCCTATCCCTCCCAAGCCCCATCTACATAGGCCTATATACCCAAACCAGGGCATGCCGGCGTGAACGTCATTCTCTACTTGCCGTTTGATTGGATGGAAGTTTAGCTCAAAACGTCACTGCATAGTTGCCAGCTCAACGGTTGCTCAGAAGTAGAGGAATCGTTTCCTCTTATCAGCTGCCCTTCGGGTCAAGAAGAGAAAATTATTGGGGCGATAAAAATACATTTGCATACAATGGTTTTTGGCCAGGATTACAGTTTTCGAACAACCGATAGGCTTAATTATTTCTCTAAAACGTTGTTATGGGATCTCTTTTATCTAGCAATGCCGAGAAGCCCTAAACATAACTGAAGTATGGTGAACCTTTACCGAGAAAGAGGAAAGACTGAGAAGAAAAGTAAACACCGGAAAAAAAAGTTGACACGCTCGTGGAATGCAGAACATTTCAACAAGCAGAGCAGGGCACTGCGTTCAGCAAACCTGATAACGGTGGAAGAGGAGTTATCCGCCCTTAGCTGAAGTGCACCCCCACCACCGGCGAGAGAAATACAGATGGTACTAAGTTTTCCAACCGGGTTCTTGCACGAGTTCAGCGTGCGAAGCCCACACATTATAGACTAAAATCGTTGCGCGTACTCAGCGTGCTCTGGGTCAAACGCGCATTAACTTGCGCACCTATGCGTGCGTGAGTATCGAAGGACTGTCATGTCATTTCAAAAGACGCCCTCTTTTGCTCTTGCTCGGAGCGGATACCGTGCAATGGGGCTCTTCTTGTCTAGAAATTTACTTACGCACCAGGAAATCGAGAAGCTGGGATGTGTTGGCTTAGGCTACTCAAAAGCCTTGGTGAAGTGACATTACTTGAAAAACTGGGCCTACGGTCAACTGAGGGGCGGTTCGCCCCCCCTCCATTGGTCTGAGGGAGCAGTTCTCAACGTTTGGTGTTCACATTTGCCGTTTACACCATTATGTAACACCGTCACATAATCTGCCCTATTACGGCAATCTATATTATACCAAAGATGACAATATTAATGTTGTAAATGATTTAAACAATCAAAACACTTCAGATAAAAATAATAGGTCTGAGTCTGACTCCCTTTAAGTTAATAATGGAAAGATTGAGGATTGTGCTTCGAGATAAACCAGATAAAAATGAAGTATTGTGGCTCAGTGACCAAATTGTAAGCAACTTTAAAGGTGCATGCCATGGTCTTTTAAATATCTGTAGAAGAGATCACAATATGAATTAGGGAGATGTGCATCTAAATTTGCCAACAGCTGGTCACGCTTAAACCATGGAGTGAAGCAATTGTTAGAGCAACATGACTGAGCAGGCTGCGACGAGGTAGGTCACATACAAGGATGAGCAGGATGGGGGTCACCCTCACCTTATCAAAAGCCCTATCAAGAAATCACGCCACTCGGACATGATATCTACGAAAAAGTAAACAAGGAGATTCGTACGGGCCTATTATTTGATGACCATGAAAATCTCTTTATTGCGTAACTACCCCCACTGTGCTTAAATCGGAGACCTTCAATTTCTTTGGAACAGAGAGTGCGACGTTCTTCTACCCCAAGAAGAGTTATTTTACAACAGAAAACAATTCCAACACCTCATTAGCACTTCTGTAATTTCGCAAAAGCTTGCTAAAACCTGCTCGTGTACAAACTGAAGATGGAGATTTCATCCCAGTAATGTTCGCTAATCTGTCCATGCATACAAATAGATTAGTGACAATGTATCCCGAGTTTTATCCAAATAGATTACACAGATATAGGGGAAGGATTTATAGGGAGATACGCTTAATGGTTGTGCTAATGAGGTCTTTAGTTTGTCAAGATAACAACAGAGATGGACACGAGAAAGTACGCAGCCATAATGCCCACAATTATCTTATTTATATTCTGAGAATCAGCGAACCTATACAAACGACAAATACGTCTTCAGATTAAAAACATGGGGATTAAAAGAAATAGCCAGATAACAAAGATTTCATTCATTGCTATATTGTGTACATCTTATATGCACAGAAACAATTTAAACGTGATGAGATCAATAAACTCAGTGAAATAGCCTACTATGAAGGTATTCCCCTTATTTACGGTACAAGAAACAAGGAACCCTGGTCAAAATTTTATTTAAGAAAATCTAATGAGCTCGAAAAATATGAAAAATACAAACGACAATTTAGATCACAAGAAGGTCGGAGCTCGTTTCCAAATAAAATGTACAATAATTTTTTCAAGCAATAAAACGACAACTCGTAGAGAACGAGTAGCTATTTGCACGAAATACAATCCGTAAACGTACTGGATTGGGATGACAAAAATGCAATATTGGTTTTCGATACTGTCCATGTGTGATACTAGCAATCTACAGCAAATTTGAGGATTCAAGTCCAAGTAGGACGTCAAGACATTCTTTTAAGGCTGTTTTATGCTCTGGGCGTCTAGGAATGTTTGTTTTTAATTTTTTTAATAGTTTTCTTACGACACTTGAAGAAACTGTAACTGAAAAAGGAATAATACATGTGAATCTAGAAACCAGGCCGGAAAACACCAACCTGAACAATCACTCAGTCTTTGGAACTCAGTTGAAAGTAAATGTAATATTTTTTTTTAAATGATAAATTAAGCCATTGTTGTCATACAGTTTGTCAAACATGCAAAGTATGAGTCAGGGTTCTGAGCTGGAAAGAGACATCATCGTTGTTATATTTTCACACACTTATTAGAATACTGACACTTAAGGTGCACATTATTCCCTGCTAGCTGGTACGTATAGTTGACAGAAAACAGAACAGGGTGCAGTTCAAGCTGTTGGTAACTGGTGGGCAAAGTTATCATACAATCTGATAAACCTTTCTTTCCCTGGCAACTACGTGCTTTTCACGAACTTTCTTGCATTCTAAAACTTTACTTAAAACTTTAAATAAAACATTACAGAAGAAAACCTGATAAAATAAAATAACACAATATAATACGAATATGCTCCATACAACTAGTTAATAAATGGCAAGGTATCAAATTGCTTGAAATGTAAAAAAAAAGTTGTGCCACATAATGTATACAGCAATCATATCAATTTAGGTGGAATATGACTTATCCGAGAGTTGGCCACTGGAATCAGAAGAAAACCTTCAATAAAACTTAAGCATAGAAGGAACAGATCACAGCAGAACCCGTCAAAAATGAATGTATCAGTGTAGGTCTCTCATCCAACAGCGTATAATAAGTGAATTCAGGAATCAGAATCTCAAGTGGCAATTTCATGAATAAGATACATATTCTGCTTGTTATTCAACACATTATGGTGATAATGCTGATAACACACACTTGCAATTGAACGAAAAATCTAAAATGCATCATAAATCTAAAATGCTTCATTAACAAAACTGCCCTTATCAGCTTGAAAATAAAAATGATACATTGTATATATAATTACATGTAAAACATCAAATTCAGATTCTTGGTTTTTGTACTAGTTTAATATCCCCTGCAGACAGCACAATTCCCATATCTCCCCAAAATCACCTGATAATACAACAAAGCATGTGCAGCTTCTTAGCAGTCTACAATGAATGTCATGGTATTAAGCATAACTACAATGATGGGATAAATCTCATTCCTGCATCACTGCTCAGGTGCCAGTTTGCAACGGCAGTGCATTATACAGTTTAAAGAAATGAAAATTGGGCAATACAATTCTTTCTGACAGATGTTCAACCCTATAGAAACTAACATATTGAAGATCCAATGCACCAAAAAATCAACAGAGTGGGGAGGGTTAAACTGTTCCTATCCCATCACATTAAGAGGTGAATGGTAGGGGTCATGAGCCATTTATCTTTGAGATAAATTAAATCATTAGCTGCTTTTCTAACTACAACAGTCAAGTGCTTAAAATTTTTAAGGCTTACTGTCATGAGTTTAAAGTTTCACATGTTTAATAACAATTAAACAAAAACTGCCCCACAATCTTCAATGATAAATGTTCACACTTACAAATTGATTATGAAATAAAATATTCTAAATATTTTGGTGCAAAAATATCTAGTATTCTCTGTCCATTTCATGCACTTTATACACTTTACACGTGCCTGACATACACATGGCCTGGGGAATAGGTGCTTTCTGCATTCTGGAAGCACTATGCACTCTATGCACACAAAGGGCCCAATCATGGACCATCTATATACATGTTCACTCACAGACCAGCTATATACATGTTAAAGGCCATCCAGGGGGCACCTATATACATGATCAAGGACTATGCGTAAGCAATGGTTATGTTAGAGGGCCACATTTACAAAGGCAACCTAGACAACTGGTCCAAACATTCTCTCAAGGGTTTTGAAACTACCGCCAAGAGACGCTGCTCATAGTTCATATAGATCTTAAGCATTTGGGTTCATCTAAAAACTGTTCAACCTTACCCATATATGTGACAGCGCATTAGTCAGAGTAATGTAGCTAGCTCACTGTTTAACATTTACCACAGGGGAAATACTACAAGCTTTGTACATACTGACATCCAAATTTCTTCACAGCATCAAATTTAAAATTAATATTTCAAAATGAGTTCCAACGATAATAGGTTGAAGTTAACCATAAGCAACTGGACATAAGGGAAAGTCTAAATAGACACTGGCATGACCTATGACCTAAATTAATTATGGAAACAAGCCACATGGCTTCAGGGAAACCAGCCAAATGATCCAATGGAAGCCAGTCACATGACATGGCCGAAATGGAAACTTCGAATGGTGCACAAAGCCTTCCAATATAATTCTCCGTAATTGTTGGATCAACATGACAAACTGTTCAGCAGAGCTTTTTAGAAGTTGAATTTGGAGATGAAAATAAAGTTAGGAAAAAAGTTACAAACTTACACATGAATCTGAAATGGCTGCTACACTTGTAATAAGGAAGTCTTCCAAGACTTAGTACAAGACTCAAACCTCCGTTTGTTTGCATGGCTTTCTTTCCAATACTTCATCATCTGATTCAATAACTGATATGTCAATCCCTCTCATCTCACCGGAATTGCTATCCTCATCATCATCTAGGTCATTGTCATGGAGAGATGCCGCTGGATTAGTGATGACACTAACTGGGTACTGGCTCTCGTCTGTAAGATCGCTGAAGGAAAGATGGCTACCTACTTTGGCATTGAGTTTTAGACGCAACTGCATTACCTAGCAAGAAAACAAATGTTCTGAGTGAGAGCATAGTAATTGGAAGCACGGACAAGAACTATCAATACTATGTACATGTAAATTCAGAATAGATTACGATTCTGATGGTTATACAAATACATGTATGCATATGGTGTTAACCAAAGCTCAAGCTCTTACAACTAGACTTTGTTAAGATAAGAATAAAGCAAAAATTGATCCCTCTAAAGTATGTGTAAGTACTTGCTGAATGGGAGACTTTGAGACATTTGGTGGCCACAAACAAACTGGTCCTTTTCTGCAGTTTTGCTCAGAACTACCGTCCATGACCAGAACTACATGTGCATATACCCAGAACTGGCAAGAAAGGACTGGTTGACTGTTGCTACCAACTGTTTCAAAGTCTCCAATTGTTTCAAAGTGTTTAGTCATGGCCTCTAAAGACAATTACAAGAGCAACACAAGACCTCCAGCCTGAATTCAAGTCACAACCAAATAAAGCATTCCTTGTTCATCCTACTGTGACTGGCCTTTGTCTATGGTCTTAAGTCTGCTTATGTGATGGTCTCCAATACAATGCTTTTGTTTGAAAGCAGAGTTAAACATTAAGTGTGTCATTCAAAGTCCCATTCAGTTTTAGTATAAGGGAAACACAAAACAACAAATTCAAGCTGAAAGATTAATTGAAAGTTAGTGCATTAAACAAGTAAGTAAATGAATGAGCAAAGGCTTCCTTGATGTGTTTGGTTAAATTTAGAGAAAATTCACCATTCAATAGCAAAATGACTAACAAATTTGTTATTTCAAAATCCAAGAGAACATAAGAAAAAGATAACCTTGACATGCATTTTATCAATGAAAAAACTCACCAATTGTACAATATATGTATGTAATGCAAAGATGTGGTTTGAAAATGTGGGACAGCAAAGGTATGGCCTGATGTGGCAACAGCTTGGGACTGGAATTATTAAGGAATGGTTGACAGGTCCTGGCATGTTGGGGAGTAGGGTCAGGAGTAAAAAAGTGATGGCAGACATATAACAATCAGACACTTTAGAAATGCTGGTGGATCTCAACATGTTTCTAATTTCTGAGGCGAGCTTCATATATGTATGTTGCTGTTAAGGGGAAGGGAGGTATGTTTATGTGGCAGAGGTAGCAGGTAAGACAAACTGAGGTGAGCTTCATATCTTGCTGTTAAAGGGAAGGGAGGTATGTTTATGTGGCAGAGGTATGTTGCTGTTAAGGGAAGGGAGGTATGTTTATGTGGCAGAGGTAGCAGGTAAGACAAACTGAGGTGAGCTTCATATCTTGCTGTTAAGGGGAAGGGAGGTATGTTTATGTCGCAGAGGTATGTTGCTGTTAAGGGAAGGGAGGTATGTTCGTGTGGCAGAGGTATGTTGCTGTTAAGGGGAAAGGAGGTATGTTCATGTGGCAGAGGTAACAGGTAAGACAAACTGAATCTAATGACAGTTTCAAGCTCAATTGTTCTGCTGTACAGGAGAAGAGTCAGGGAGGTGTCAAGTGGGACAGAGATGACCTGGTAATTGGTGAAAGGCATCAACACTGTACCTTTGTGGTACATGTACATATGCTGGTGTGGCGTGGGGCAAGAAGGATACAGTAACTGAGATAACAGTGGTACAAGTGAAAGGTGGGACAGAGATGATTTGGGAATGGAGACAGTTTTGGGCACATACAGTACCTCTGAGGTAAGCTCAGTTATTCTGTTGCGGAGTTCCTGCATGCTGCTCTCAGTCTCAGATTCACTCAGGGTTCTCTGGGTCAATAGCTCTTGGTTCTGTGTGGTAAACAGGCAAAACAGATGGGGGGAATCTTTCAAATAAGAGGGATTCCCTCAACACCTGTAAGATGTTGCCAAAAATCATGATGGTTGGACGAAAGTATTGCTAACAATGAATTATTTCCCTGTGTCTTTCAAACAAACAAACAAACCAAATCTGCCTGATGAAGATGAGTGCGGGCCTCTACATTCATCAAACTACATTAAGTGTAAGTTCATGCTCAATTCAGTGCTCATGATCTTCTTAACCCAAACAGCCTGTTATCCTTCACCTGTTGCAGGATTGAGGACTGTCAGGGGAAAAAAAGGAGAAAACATATCCATGTACTATAATGTAAGGTGCCATCTTATGGTAGAAACAGGGAAAAGAAATCCCAAATCAACAAAAAAGCTAGAGAATATGGATGTTAGTATGCTTATTTGCATCCAACTAGGTTTATCAGTATGGCTAATTGTATAGTGTAGCATAGGTGGCAGTGTCCTATCAACCATTATAAAAAAGCCATCAATTCACATTTATTGTACAATCACAGTAAAAGAACAACAGAATTACTGTCAAACATTTTATTCTGTTTAGCTGAAGTGTCAGGGGATAATCTGTTAAAGGAATGCTCTTTGAAATGAGCCCGTTTTATTTCATGCTTAACATAAAAGCACATTAAAAATAACAGACCACCACCTAAAAGAAGAGACCAAACTCTGATGACCTGAGGTAAAATCAAAGATGGCCTGTCTCTGTATATTGGTCAATAGTCCACATACCAACTTCGCCTGAGCCCTAGAAAATGCTAAGCACAGTGCATTTTGAAGTTTCAAATGTTTCTTACTTAGTAACCTTTCCTGGAGTTTTCAAAAGATTCGTTTAAAGTCTACAGAAGAGACAAACCAACATATCATGAGACTTATATTAAAACAATAAAGTAATACCACTCTGAAAAGAGGAATTCTCTGGGCAGATTGGATCATTGGAGGAACATGTAATGTTAAGACAAAGCCATGATTAACGGAATAAATATGTGCTTGGCCAGTCTTAAATGTGCATTTAAGACCAGCTCAGGTGAATGAATGTGACTATGTCCAAACTGCAGGCAAGGGCATTATCAGCATTCAATCTCCTGAGCAAGGGCTTAAGCGTTGGTTTTAAGACTGGTCAAGCACATATTTATTTCTATTCATACCTTTTTATTCAGAGAGTCCAGAGAAGTCAACATATGATGGATTTCCAACGATTTTGTTCTAAAACTTTACTTTCATTTTCCCAAACACCAACATCCATTTTGTGGTATATTCCTTTTGAAAGTTGTCTAATACGAATCCCCTTCAATGAATTTGGCACACGCATGGTGCATCGTGTGCACATGTACATACACTCCTGACCAATCAGACCTGATTAAACTGTCTCATATCCGCTTGCCAGAGCATGATTTGTGCAGTAGGCATTATCACTTCTCAGCGGGCATTATCAAATGTTAATACACGGTCACATGACGCATTTCGACCAATAGGAATATAAAAACTGCCCTCGGTATTTATGAATTGTATTTCACAAATCCCAGAGTGGAAATAACAGTTTGGTTTTGGGGGTGAGGTCTGACCATCACAGCTACAAGTAAACTCATTAACATCCTATATGACTATTCTGACTTACATCAATAGAGGGCTTATTACAGCTTAAATACAACTGTGGAACAACCTTTGTGGATAATTAAAATTCCTTACAAATGGCGATAAATGTAACAATCTGTTGAACTCTGCCTGCTTTAAAGGATGTTCTATGCATAAAAATATTGATACTATACAAATAATGAATGTTTATGAGTGCCCTGGTTAGAATAATTTCATGAAGAGACAGATGAATACCATTCGCCCAGATGTGAAACATTCATTATTTGTTTATACAATAGCTGCATTTAAATGCTCTTCTGTTCAGAGAACAAAGGTCCTCGTGTTTTAATGTCTGCCATTTTGCGAAATAGATTCGTGTCTGAAGTACTACCCACGGTAGTAATATTATAATATTAGACCGGTTCCCATCTCGTAACTATTTTGTTCTTTCTTCCTGGCAATGAAATACATGAAATACGGGTGGAAACCAGTCAAGTGAAGTGAAGATCTGTTCAATGGGTACCAAGAAAAAGAAGTAATTCAATGACATCCAATCAACAATCCACCATTCAGATAATGGGAACTGATGTAGGTATAGCATAAAATGCGATATCACGTTTCAGTCATCCATGTACACTGATATTGGTCAACCTTTTTTATGTATACATGTTGCTGGCCTCCTTTTCACCTACCTGTATTTCCAGTTCTGCCATCTTCTGAGCCAGCTCAGCCAGACAAGCATTGGCCTCTGTCTCTCGTAATCTTACAGCATACATCTCCTCCTTACTCTGAGTGAAAAAACAAAACAAATGTACAACTATGTATGCCCGATAAACTGTTGAAATTTTAATCAAGATGAATTACCAGTGGGTGATTTGCTTTATGATGTCCCTTACACTAGGTTAACAAACAGGTTTTGCAGAGATCAAGTATACTGTAAACATTTACCAACATTTACCAACATTTGGCCATTTAAAGAGTACTTACCGTTCTCCAATTCAATTAAATAGAGCCATGACTTACCTTAGCCTCCAGTTTAACAAGTTCTTTCATTGAGTTGTTGAGGGAGGCCTGTAACTCCTTCTCGTGTTCTGTAACCTTTTCAAGATCTGCCTTGAGTTGTAGTCGTTCTTCTTCACTGCGTCTGAACTGATTACTTGTAACTTGATTCTGAAAACACACACAAGAGTAATAAAAAAAATTCAACTTGATTTCTCTCATTCCTGTCAACCCAAACTTCCTAATGACACAAATTCCCAACCCATTTCTTTCAGCTAAAGTGTTTTTCTCGAATTCTCCTTAGGCATTCAACTATTGTTTTTTTTCAATTTGAGGCATTCAAACACATACCCACCCACCAACCCAACTTCCAGACCTACCTGTGTCTCTAATTCCATCACTCTTTGTTTCATTTCCTTCAGCTCAGCTGCTGTCTCTGCTTCCCGTAACCTAACACTCATCAGTTCTTCAGTCAACGTGTGCATCGTCTCTTTGCTGTTGCCATCCTTCTTCCTACACGAAGCCCTTTGTAGATGTGCCTTAAAATGGATGGAATATAACTCATGAAATTCAAATAAGTCTTGACTTGATTTAACTTGCATCATAGTGGCTTTAGTGTCTCTCAAAGTCAAGTTTTGCTCAAAGCTCAATCCTATTAATGATGACAACCATTTTGTGAGTTTCTAAAGTACAGTATGAAGTTACAATAAGTCTACCATAAGCCTGTTTATTTGTTGAAAATCCTTCATCCTCAGCTCAATATACAATTGTACAATTTCCAGTGATGCTCAACCTCACATAATATTCCTTCAAGAATTCTAAATGTTTGTCTCTGACCCTTGATTGTGAGGTTTGCTGCAACTTAACACTGCAACAAACCTTGTTATCCTGTAAAACTCAGCCTGTCATACCTGCCATCGACCATTCCATGCAATGACTGGTTGTCTTAAGTCTTTGGGTGTTTTCAAGGTTTTTTCTTTAACTTTAAAGTAAAGTTTACCCCACAAGCTGTCTTACCTGCCAATGACCTTCCAAGTCGTTGACAGTCTGCCTCAAATCCTTCAATGCAAGGTTTGCTTCAGCCTCTCGTAGCTTGACAGCAATCAGCTCATCTTGTAATGCTTCCACTGAGTGGCCAGGCTCTTCTTTTAACTTCTTGTTTGCCTGTGAACAGAAAGAACAAGTACATATAGTTCTTCAGCCTATGCAAACATAGCTTGTCCACCAATCATTTACAAAATAACTCTTGGAAGGTGTCCCTCCTTCCCAATTTTATTTTCCATTCTCTATACATTGGACACTATGAAAAAAGAGTTTGCCTTGTTTAATACGTAGCAACACAAGATCCCTTAGTATTATCAGACACTCATACTTGTTTGTATGTGAATGATGAGGAGTCTGCACAAATTGTTTATATAAGACAATGTGCAAACCAATCTATGTCTTTGTGTGAAAGTAGGGTGCACAATGGTCAACAATATCCAAATGCCAGCCAGATCTTTGTCTCACTGGTGACATGGTACTTTAACCACTTGCTGCTGGGGTTTCCAGTACCGGACACATATTCTTTATACGCATGGCTGGGGTGTTGCAAATTGCACAAAGGGAACTGGGCTTTGTAACAAAAGACCATACTTGTAACAAAAGACCAGACTGCTGGGCATTACCGACATTTTTTCACTCTCAATAGTGGAGATAATCCGGCCATGTTTTGAAACAGTTTATCACGGTTTGCGGGATTTAGTGCGAGCGGATTACGACCAGGGACAAAAGCACTCCACCACCGCAGCTAATCTGGCTCCAATTGAAAAGAGGTCAATGGTGCACTGTGCCAGTTTCGTGGACAAATGAAAATTACGTAACAACACAAAATCTGGGCTTTTTTTACAAGGCGGCCGGCCTGGTTGAAATATTCCAGTGTCAATACATGTTGTCTGTCAGATTAGAGTAGAACCAGACAGTCCTTTGTGTGGGCGTAAGTGTCCAGTAAATGAAGGTAAGAATTTTTAAGAATTTTGAAAACAGAAAAAATGATGATTATCCTGCCCCAGCATCATTAACATCGATAACTGCCAACGGCGCGAAGTGGTTAAGTGGAGTCCATTGGCCTTATTCGTAAAAATGGCCATTTTGAACTGTGCTCCCCTGATCTTTTTGAACAATGTGGTGGGAAACAGCTTGACTATTTTCCTACTTAAGCTATACCCTCAATTGAAACTTTTTTTCATTTGGACAGATAAAAAAATATTTCCAAATAGGTCACTTGGGAGACATTTTGCGGTAAATTTTTCAACATTAGGGAGACATCGGTCATTAGGGAGACTCCAGCTATCATAAGGAGGAAAATGTTTAGTGTCCACAATTTGAGAGATGATAGATTGGGGTCTGAAAGGAAAACATGCAGAGTTTGGTTAAGATCAGATCAGGGAATATTGAATTATGGGACGGTAAAGTTTGAAAAATTTTGTGCATGTCCCTATGGGAATGCCTCCCAAGTGACCCATTTTCAGTAATTATAAAATCTTTAATTAGACAGATCCAGAATGTAGAATGATAATTTTAAAGGAACTTCCTTGCTTTTGACTCATTGAATACCGCCACAATGGTTGAGTGCAGCATTCCAAAATACTACCCTTTGGAAATCAGTTTATTGGCTGCAGGTACTTTACCAGTCCTAACATACCTTCTTCTGCAATCACTTTACTGAATGCAGCAGTGTTATCATTTTGTTGTCATACACGTAACTCATTCAAGGACTCAAACAAAGGAGTCAACCTGCTGCCATGAGGTTACTGGCAGTCAGCTGGCTGCAAGTGTTGTTTATCAGATTCCTGTTATACTGGTACCTTCTCTAAAGACTTGATATCTTCTCTGAGTTCTTTCAGTGTTTCTGCAGATTCTGCCTCTCGTAGTCTGACAGCAATGAGCTCTTCTTGTAATGCCATAATGATACCTGCTGATTCAGAGTCTACTGGTTCAGAATTGTCATTCCTAACCTGAGAAATAAAACACACCGATCACATTGTAAACACGACTGTAAGTACATGCACGTTATGTTAGAGTTTCCACACCTTGTAATAGTAAGACTGCCTCAGCAACAATGTACCTCCCCTCATTCCCCTCCTCCCCCAAAAAACACTTTTATAATTAATACATGTACATCTGGTTGCTTGGTAAACATACCAGGAGGTTGTTTGTAGATGTACAATAATGAAGTCATTTTCTAAGATTCTCTGCATATCCTTTCATTGTAAATATACATGTACTTGTTATAACATCATTAGCAGATATAAATGTTAGTCTTTTCAAGTAAAATACATGTTTCAGTTTGCCCTCCTAACTTTGGAATCCCTTTACAAAATTCATTCACTTGTGGGGGGTATTTGGGATGTGGATTTACAGAAGAAAGAGGTCTGTCTGCTGCTGCATGAACCCACTGAATAAGTCTAATGTTCAACAGAAGTAAACTGATGTACAATATTCACTGTCCAGTCCAATTTATTTCATCTGTTGTCTTTCCATGCCCAAGATTTTACTAACAACAAAAACACTCCAAGATAATCATACTGCAAGGATCTGTGTTAATTTGGTTTCCACTTTCTTTGTTTCCATGCTGGCACCTACACTGCATTTAGGCACGGGCTGTATGTTGCATTGTACTGGTCTTTCCATCCCATCTAGTCTTGTATTGCAATTCACAAGTAACACAAACCTCAGCAGATGTCAGTAATCAATACATGCAGACATAGACAGCCTTGCCGGAACTACCAGATAGCATTTCAGGGATTTTATTGGGCTGTTGATCTGTTTAGAGCGCAATGTTTCACAGCGTCATGTTTTAGGCATAATCTTTTCATACGGAAGCATCTTTGATGGCAGTTAGAGTAATTTTGCTGCCACTGGGACAGCAGCTTGAGAAAAAAAGGTGATTTATTTTACGGACAAAAATTCCGCTGCGATGAAAATAGCAGGACCTCCTAGAATCTCAACCTGACATATTTTGGGTTGTAAACAGGTCTTTCAACTTTGATACAAAGAGTTTTATAATGACTTCAAATTCCTTTCAAAGGATGGATATAAAAACTGGCATTTCTCTAAATGTATGGAAATACTAGAAATCACTAGCACAAACTTCATTATACTCAAAGCATCTTGAAGTAAAAACACATCCACAATGGGAGGTGCAAGGAAAAAGCAACAGTTAAATTCTAAAAGGGATAAATCAGACAGTGAGAAACACGAACAATCACTTCAAGTATAAATGAGTTTCTTTTTCACCAGAGACTTCAAACTGAGCAACAACAACTAAAAACACTTGTCAACATTTTCTACAACAGCAGTGCATTTATTGTGTCTGTGGCATTCCAGTTACTTATTTCATTCTTTGAGCTTCAAGAGGTTTTCTATATGAAAGCTTTGTCTCATTTTAGGCCATAACAATTCAAGTTCATGCAGTGTTTTCTGTCACAAAAACTTCAAATCATTTACTTTAGGGTAAAGATATTAGTTCAAACAGTAAACATTTGAAACTGGTGATGGCAATTGAAGCCAGATATGGAGACAAAGCCAAGATTTGGAAAAGGGCCCAAATCTCTTCATCAGCCAGGTCATGGCTACTCCTCCAGGCATACCAGGAGCAAATAATGTACATGTAGTTAATGCCTTGTGATTACATCTCTCCTCCCTAGCAGATGCTAAACACATCCCAAGGCTGGTGAAGTGCATCTGCCTATGGCAATGTGACCTTTCTAATGTGCTTACCAGAGAAATAGTGGGTGGCAAATCAGAGATGCATAAAGTGTACAAGGTTTTATGTAAACACTGCCAGGCCATGAAACAAAATTTGCCATGAATTAAAAGTAAATCACAATGCTACACAAACTGTTGCTGCATTGAAAACCTGAGTGGTTTTCGTTTCAAATAAAATTACATGACCAGAGAAACTATGCAAAGATAAAGATCCCAATCAGAAAAAGGCATGTGATGAAACTGTGGAAAAGAAACTGACAGCTAATCTGTCAGAAGTAATTTGTATGTTAATTGCCTAGCAACTTCACAAAGCCAGGAGTGAAAAGAATAATGAATACGTGTACATGTGTCACATTGGAGCATTCTGCTAATTATAATTCATTAATGCGCATTATAATATCGAAAGCTAAAACCTTTCAGAGGAAGACCAGGCTAAAATTATAACTTGTAACACTCTACAGGTTGCAAATTTACAAAATGCCAGAATTTCTTGATTTCAGCAAAAACTTGGTCAATAATTTTTACACAGCTGTACATGTACATCCACAAACATGACAAATAACTAAGGCATGCTTGAGTTTCAGCTGTTCCAACAACCACTGAGAAAGGGCAACACATGTATCACACCATGATTAAGAACACTGCCACAGGTAACACATTAGATATTAATATCAGATGAATTCAGCAATGTACATGTAGAAATGCAATGAAACATGCACATATAGGACCAGGCGCAACATGTGACAACAATGAATCTTGATGATGATGACTAATACAGGGTGAACAGGCATGAAGTCTGTTACTATGGAGATGGCTTCATTATGAATACATGTAGATGCTTGTAATGTAAGGCTTGAAATTTTTTTTAAAATGCAAATATGGTAGAAATTTTTCCTAGAATATTTCTATAATGTGCTTTTTGTTTTATGTTGTAGATAGTTATAGAAACAAATGAACAAAATTCAAAATCCAAAACCAATATCTTGATTATTTGATATGAAATTATACAGGTGGGTTAGCATTTTGGACAAAAACAACACATTTGTACTTTAATGTCCTGATCCTTGGTGTGAAAATTAATTTATACCTTATCCCAATCCCCAAACGGGCTTAATGTGACAAAAGTAAAAAGGCAACCAACGAACAAAAGCAACTGGTTAGTCAAATCTAAATTAATCTGTATTATACATCAGGATTTATCACCACTTAAAAGTATCTATCTGTGGATTTATATTGCAAGGACACAATTTAAGCAGAATATCAAAACAACCTGAGCTCATATCTATATGTTAGCAACAAACCAACCACCAAGGACACAAATACAACATTAAAGTTGTTGACATTTCCACTGATGTAGAGCTCTGTACATAAATGTACACTGTACACATGTTCTTGAAAGTTTAACAATCATCTGATGGTTTTCTTAACATTTGCTAAAATATGTTTGAGAAGGTACCGGCAGTACAAGACTCTCCATGTAAAATGTCAACAAGGTGTGAGTGTTGAATGATTTTGAAACTGTCAACATGACAAAATGGAACACAACAATATGTTAAATAATGGTTTGAAGGACAAACAGCAGCCACAAATGGGATTTCCTAATTTATGACGGAAGTTAGAACACAAATGTCGAAGTGCATGAACAAGTGTGACATACACTTTACCTTTCGCATAAAATCCTTTACAATCGTCTGTGCTCTTTGCAACTTGTCCATTGTCTGTTTGTTGAAAACAGAAGTGACAGAAATGTCCTTTGAACCATGAAGAAAAGCAATAAGGGCATCTGTGCACTTGTATTTTAACGATCAAAAAAACACAGTACTTGCACGTACATGTACATGTACCGATACACAGTGATAGTTTGACGTACATTGTACGGTTTGTTTGAAGGTTAAATGTATCACAGAAATTTAGCAAAATTAGGATATTCAGTCCACTTAGTACGGTACATGTATTTCCAAGGTTTTTAAATGTTTTTAAATTCATTTCTAATAAATGTGAAATCTAATCTAAACAGCTGATTCCTCCTTTACATGTAGTTAACAATGACACTCCAGCAAAACATCCACATTAAGATATCAGGATCTTGACATCAACAGCAGAACCTGAGAAAAATAAGCTGAAACAATAAAGGAGCTGTTTCCACTTCAACAAAACTGCATGCCACCAAACGATGCCTACTACTGTAAATCTCACATTTGTGAGATGATTTACATGTACATATACCTTCAGCCAGCAAGTAAACAAACCAAAACGCAATGATAAGGTATAATTTAACTTACTCATTGGAAATATGAGGCTTCTCGTACCAGTACATGTTTGAGACATTATCACCCAAAACTCCAATTCTCAACATCTAAATTTGTCTTAGATGTGAGTAGTCAGCAATGTCAGAACTATATGTAGCTCATCTTGGCATGCTAAACACTGATTCATTATAATCGTTCCAGGCCGGGTATAAGGGTTGGGCTAGCTATAATGGGCATACAGTCAACGGCACACTGCATCCGATCAATGCGATGCATGCATGCACATACATATAGTATGCAGACGTTGTCAGTGATACACCTGGCTGATTACATTGTGCTTAGAGTGGTGTGGCTCCAACCTCAAAGCCTTCTTTCTCTTTTTAAAAATGTGTTACTCACAGGTCTGTCAGGAATTTTAATACATGTAAGTTTCACAAATCTTCTGGAAACCTCAACTGAGACAGACCTTTGTTCACCGGATTTTAATTTTAAATGATAAATAAAAACAGGTTTTTTATGGTATGTTCCTCACAATGTTTACAAGAAATTTATCAAAATGTTGTATAAGAGAAAACGTCTTTTCAAATATATCCAGTATGTAAAGTTTCGAAAGCACTATAATTGTCAGACAGCCACGGTACAAGTACAATTTTAAAATACTGGTACAAGAATGTACATGTAGACGTACAGTGTACACACATACATTATGATAAGCATGATGATGGGCATTTCTAATGGGAAGAACTAAATGATTAAAACAACTGAAACCTATTCATATGCCAATGAATACAAAATCTATACCAGTAGGCTACTAATAAATAACGCAATTAAATCATATGATCAGAAAAATGCTGATATGAGTGATCTACATGTACTTCTACCATTTTCAAAACCACAAACCAGATTTTATTTATTTATAGCCACTAAAATGCACCTAGATCAGAGAAACCCACTGGTGTTATTTTTTCATAACATTCAAGTTTATGGTTTCAAGATTGGCATTAAATGATGAAATGAGTCAATAGGTCGAGGCTTTCGGTTTATTGAGTAAAAATGACCAATTCGGACAAATTTGTTTGCTGCTCGTACAGTGTACCGGGTACCAAGACAGGAGTGCCACATGTCATGTGTTCAAGTATACATGTACATGTACATAATGTAGGTAATGCGTAAATTACTCGCAGGTAGCATGCATACAAACCAATGACTGTATAATCTACAGTGTATGTATTGTATGTCTTACGTGCACCTAACAGACTAAGGCAAAATCATTTCCATGTGACTCTATAAATAGCATTGAAGGTGCATAATTTAATATCGATTCATGGAGCCTTTTCAGGTACCGTACATGTGTAACTGCATGTTTGAAATCCACTTGAATAATTTTTCTTATCAACCAACCAGAGCCGAGTTAATAATTCATGAGGGAAAGGTCAGTTTGCTGGTACCAGTACCGTACATGTACTTATTGTTTCCACGATGTGGAATTTATCTTGCTAAACTTCTATTGTTACCATACATGTACAACTGCAAGTCAAACAAACAAGAAAAAAGTTAATGTTGAGACAAATGCACAGGAATGAGGACTACATTAGCCAGGTGGTTAACCCATTAGTTTGATCATTTCAACCCAAAGGACCAAGTTTACTTCATCCAACCTCTTTGTACTTGTACTTAAACAAGGTTAAAAATCATACATCTTGGTCTGGAAAACATACACACATGTATCCATAGTCCTCTGTATAAAATGGCTGTGACATTTATACTCTGCTACATGACCACTGTATCGGGGAGACTTCCTATTCACAGCTGATGCCATAGTCTAGGATGCAGGCTGCATATATTCCTGGACAGACAGATGGCATCTCTCTGTGAATCAATTGGTTTCTCTGTCAAGGGATCACTAGGCTGATTAAGTCAGTATCTTATATGACATCATGCTGAAGGATTGATGTTTATGATCCCCGGTATGGTACTAATAAGTATTGTCATGGGAACCACAAAATAACCATTAGAAAACCGTGTGGCTAATACATATAAATGTATAAGGCACTGCCTCGATAGGCAATGTAGCGACCATGTTGCATGAATATGTTGTTTATGATCAAGTGAGAAATACATGTAGTTTACACTCTGTTATCTGTATTTTATACAAAATAGACATTATAATATATACACACTACGGTGCACACCCACATGAAGCCTGTATTACAGAAACTAGTGCCATCTTCCTGAGTTACTCGTTTTACAACATGTACTTCCCTTATCTTATTTTGATATTGAAAATAAAGCTTCAATCAGAGTAAAATATAAAAAGTGGTGCACTTCATATACATGTACACATACCTGACAACTCTTGATTTATTTCAGTAAACTTTTTTGAGTTCAAGAACAAAACAAGTACATACAATACTGGTTAAGCTAGGAATAGTCAACTTGGAATACATGTGCATGCACAGTGATTTATTTACATGTATATGTATGGATGTACATGTATATGTATAGTAAACACACATACTGTACATGTACATGTACATCCATGATACAGTACATCCTCCGCTCAGTTGATGACCTAATGACTTTGCCAATGACATGCATTTGGGATGTTCTTGCATGTATTTAGAGGACAGAGTTTATATCCTTTCAAGGTTGCAAGATCAGTATGGTATCGTCTTTATGCCTAGATGCAATTTATCCTTATTATTTATGTATATCGGCAGATAGAGCAGAAGTACAATTTGTGTACTGTGTGTACGTGTGGGAGATTAAGGCTGTATCCAACTCTGTTGCCTAGAGCTAGGTCTAGGTCTTCGCTCCATTGGAAATGCGGGGAGATGCATAGACAATAGACCTAGCCGTAGCTCTGGAAGCCCATTTTGGACACGGCCTGAGGGTCTGTTTGTTTCACATGGATCTATGTAGATCTCAATCAGTAATTCCAATCCTGGTTTACTCCATCCATGAAGAGTGTTCTGGTGTCAACGAACCAACAATGGATCACTGATTGTAATCCTGATCTGAGTGAAACACACAGGCACCCATAAAGGCATTATTGCACAATAGAGTGTACGTACATGTATGCATGTGTTGTCAACTTGACCATAGTCTTGTGTGGGACCACACGTTTCCTGAGGCCATAACGTGCATACATGTACACACCAAAGTCTTCACAATTCAGTCCAAAGTCGCCAATTAAAAGCCAGTATGGTACCAAGCAAGGCAATGGTGAACTTGAACAGCGCCCTCTAATAAACACCAAGAAAGGTCTGTATACCGGTACATAACAGATTGTGTCATCTAATGCATGTGCCAAAAATCATTACAACCCTAGTATTTTACTTCATACATGTAATTAGAGTTAGACCCCAGTTTGGAAAAAAAAATGCTTTGTATGAGAAAACCAATTTTTTTTTAAATGTCACAGACATTTCTGTCAAAGAAAGGAACATCTTGTAGAAGGTACACTTTCCATCAGTAACATTTTCATTCTTGTTAAACAAAGAGGCAAAAAATATTCAACAGGTTAGCCACAGATTAAAAACAGAAATTTTCATCTTTCTGAAGTATTAGAAAGGTGGGAATAATTTTACTTCCTTAAAAAAAAGATTTGTCTGTGAAAAACTGGACACTTTGTAATCCAACTGTTTTGAAATGAACGGCAAGACAAAAAACCCAAAATCAATACATTTCAACTTACACACATATATTTGTCTCTTAAAACAACACTTTATTCTAACTCACCTTATCTCGTAGATCACTGATGACAGTTTGAGCTCCTTCTAATCTCTTAGCCGTCTCCAGATCATGTTGCCTCAGTGTCTCCAGTTCCTTCTTCATGACGTAATTGTCTTCAGCTTCCTGAGCTCTCTGTAACTGACCCTGGATTAATTTGTCTGCGAGAACTTCATTCTCTTCTTCCAAAACCTGAATTCTCCTCAGGAGTAGTCTGTTCTCGGTCCGAAGTCGCTGTTTAAAAGTGGTTATAAATGAAGAGCAATAATTACTGATGTCGGTTTTATACTTTTGCTTTATTTTCACATCTCTTGTCTGTTCTAAATAACAAACAGCTGAAATGTCACCAAGGTCAGCTTTTACACAAAAGTTCAGTATAACCTGTAGTAGAGTGGAATCTTGCAAGCTGTTATATGCCATTGCGTTGAGAGAAGATATTACCAGCAACAATGCAGAAACACTTTCTAGAGCAACGATAAATTAACTACACTTTGTACTTGTACACAATAAACACATACATGTTCGTGAGCATTTAAAATTCCATTGATGTTTGGAATGAGTGTAAGGGTTTTCTTTGTCATACAATACCTCCAGCTGCTGGAACTCCAGCAATCACTTGCATTGTGTTCATAACAATCATCAAACAGCTGCTTCGACATAACACTTGCATATTTGAATGATTAGTAATCTGTAAGTCTGGTATCAGCATATGTAACTAGATGTAAATAATTCTCAAACTCTCAGAAAGGTAGTCGCAAAACTAATCAGGACACATGGGATTTCAAGATATTCACAGTGACAGACAACTACATGTAAAGTGGACAGTATGCTCTGTCCATCATCAGGAGACAGAGCATACTGTCCGAACAGAGTATACTGTCCAAAAGGTTGAGTTCCTTACGGTTCTTTTCAGAACCATACAGATTCACGAAAGAGATCGTATCCTTGCATGGTGCTACCGCAAGCCTTCCACCTTAGTAATCAGGACACATCAGAATCAAGGACACAACACTCAGGATTAACAAATTCCTCAACAGCAAATGTTTCATGAACGGAAAAAAACAGGTTTTCTTTTTAACACCCAGCAGAAAGACAGCAAAGCATGAAGTGTGTTAACTGTCAGAAAATTTGAATACTACTTGTCTTTGCCCACAAGTAAAATGAAACAAACAGAAAGTCTCCTCCCTTCAATCTTGGGAATTAATAGAAATTGACAGACTGCAAATGCATTGCATGCAGACACTCACCCGCATTTCAATCTGATCTTCAGTTTCTTTGGTCTTGAAGGCAAGATAATCCTTTTCCAACCTGAAATAAATCATTCAAATCAGCACACATCAAAATTTCAAGCAGAATCTAGAAGCGAAACTTTACCAGATTTTGACACCTTTGTCTTGTAATTTGAAGACTAGCTGCTATTAGTAACAATCGTCTGGTTTTGGAGACTTCACTAACTTTTACAAGATTAACAATTAACTCACTTTTTCATTTTCTTTGCATTGTACTTGACTTGGTAAGCTGTCGACATCAGGATTTCTGGCTCAGCTTCATGGAATTTTGGTGCAATTTTCTGTAAAAACTGTTAAAAAATCAACCAAAAATACAGAGTGAAATACAGACAGAGTACATGAACACACACTGCGGGTACAAAAGTACCAGTACATAATCAAAAAGGCTAATTAGGAATAAAGAACTTATAAACTACAGGTCAGTAAAACTTCTTCCTTTGTGATTTCTACATTCCACGTCATCATTAGGGAGCACACTCGTAGTATTACTGTTCAATTATTACAATCCAGTCTTTAAACAATAAGAAACTGAGTGTAAAATAACAGCACAAACAAACCAGCGGCAAAAGTCTCTGAACAAAGAAAATATAATTAATCAGTTTTATGTGGAATTTTCACCAATGAAGTTTCAATCAACCTGTTCAAACAGGACAGAAAAGCTTCACTCTTACCTATGATGGCCTCTTCACTCATTCACAATGCAAGCAAACATGTTTTACGAGTGCATATTCTGTTTTGTTCTTTTCTTTGATGGGAGGAGTGGTGTACATCTTCAATTGTGTATATCAGCAGTCCAAACCCATAAATCATGAAAACAGTTTTGATGTAGTCAATAATTTTCCGTAACTGCACAGGTAAAGATCTAAATTTTGCTTAGATAAGAATGCTATGAACCTGACTTGTGTGTTCCCAAGTGATTAGTTTTGAGTCGTTAGTATATTATTTTAATGTCAATCACAAATGCATACTCATACATGTACATGTAAAGATATCTTCCCTAGGTTCACTGTGATCAACCCCTCAGCTCTCCATGATTCTTCACTACTCAAAAGGATTAGGTCCAGCAAAAGATCTACTAGGACAATCTAAATGCTAATTTATCTGCCGACTTTGTCAGAATGCTCTTCCAAGGGAAAACAGCTTTCTATATGTACATGTCCTGCATACATACATAAATGTATGTATGGTACTCATGCATTTTGTTGACCCTAGTCTATTTCCATGTGAGTACCTTGCCTTTCCCCAACCAGTCAAAGCAAACAGCTGGCTCATTTGTGTCGACTGGATTCACCGTAATATGCCATCACCAAATTATTTTAAGTTTTATTTTATATACTGGGCTTGATGTCTTGATTTTGTAAAGCAAAAAGAAAATTTGCCATACAAGCAGTTTGTTGCAGAGTTTCAGACGATGCTTTGGTACCTGAGTTTATAACATGCAAACAAAAGCAAACAATATTTCAGTTCCTTCAATTCCAATCAAATTAGCGTTTCCACCTACCCTGAGCATTTCTTCCATGTCCAGTCTAAGTAGATCATCATAGTTGAGCTGCAAAATTGCTATGCTTACACGAAAGATTATCTCCATTCCCTACACAAAAAAACAAGTAAATCGTAAGTGTACTCTACATCTAGGGTGGCTGATAATTCAGAATCAACTTTCACTGGAGCACTCATTAATTATAGGATTTGCTCACTCAGCACATAAAGACAAGGTAAAACAAGACAAATATACACCATATTTTCAGGATGGCAACTTCCAAATTATTTCTTGGAAATGCCAATATGTTGGTTCATTCTACATGGAAACTGCAGCCATATCTTATCTTGCTAAGTTGATCCTTACCTCGGATATGAAGATGTCCATTATCCTACGTGCCAGAGATATCGGAAGACCTACAGCAAATAACGTCAGAAACCATGGTGACGCAAAGATAGAAGTGTGGAAGCCCTGAGAAGTAAAGTGCCTGAACAATTCAGGAAGTAACTCCTATTGAATAAACAAGAACATCAAAACCACACTAAAAATGACTGGAATTCATAGAGTAATTATACGTGTACCGGTTACTTTACACATGTGCATCTATTTTATTCAAACCAACAACAGGTGGAACATTGTAACACTGCAAAATTACACCCCTTTCTTTCACAGATGGGGAGGACAAATGCAGGGTTAAATTTTGTTTTGATAACAGTTAATTAAAGTACTCTCTGTGAAATGCTGTCAGAAGTGATACCCTCAGATATAAAGGGATATCCCTAGCAATGCCCTTCCCTCATCCCGTCACAAAATTGCATCCCAAGCAGCACCCATCTCACTGACCCATCAGAAGACTGCACCCAAGGCAGCACCCTTCCCTGTACCCATCAACTGACTGCATCCCTGGCACACCCCCTCCCCATCAAATCAGACAACTACATACTAGAAATGTCAATTCTCTCACCCCGTCAGAGGACTAAATGTACATTCTTAGCATCACCCCATCCCATATCTCATCAGAAGACAATACCCCTGGCTGAGTCCTTCCCCTCTGCCCCATAAGAAGACTGCACCCCTGGTAGCACCTCTCCCATCGTCCCATCAGAAGATAGACTTGAATCAAGTCAGACTTATGTTGCTCTTCCCTAATCAGTCATTCCTCCACACAACGCAGAGTACACGGTCGTCACACTCGGCCGCTCGCATTACGTCTTATAAGGCACCCTCATTTGACAGATTTTCCGCAATATCCGGCGTTGACGTCAGAGACTGTACGATATGTGTCACCAGTCAGTAAGTCCGACTTGACAGATAAGCCAATCAGACCCCCTTATGTCATCAGAATACAACATTCCTAGCAGTGCCCCTCCCTTTATACATGTAAAATTAAAAGACAACACTCCAAGTAGCAGCCCTCCCTTTGTCCCATCAGAAGACTACACATACACCTGCGGCACACCCCTCCCTTACTCCTATGAGAAGACAACACCCTTTCAGTGTTCCTCCCTCTTTCCATACATGTAGATCAAGTGGAAAGGCAAATCAGCTTGACCACAAATTTCCCTAAAAATCTATGCATAATGTACAATCTTCAAATGTCAATGGAGTAATGTAACTTTAAAAGGTTTCCCAATTCTTAAAAGTAAACAAGCACAAATATCCCTCTGGCCTCTAGATCTTGTGAATGCAAAATCTTAGAGCTGGGATACATCACATGTACGTGCATTTCTGAGTATTCATTTCACTTCTACACATCCTAGGAACTGATAAGGAAGGGCTGCCTTAACCTTGTGTACATCGGGACATAGTCGTTGACTTCAAACCGTAAGTATGTACATTGTAAATGACACTACACGTTTGTACATGATTACAATCCAAAAGGAAGTCATTCCTTCTTAACTAACAAAACAGTTTGAAATACAGGGACAGAGCAAAGTATCCGCATATGGGAGATTCACAGTACAATACGTCACCAAAAGGTTGACCCAAAAAGGCCATTTACAGTGCATTTAGGGACAAGGTTGACAAATTTTATTTGCCGATTGTGCATGGGTACTAGAGTAATTTTCAATGTTTGTTTCACAAGGGAGCAGATTTGTAAACTGTACAGGCAGCCATGGTTTACTTTTTTTGACTGTTATTGTAAAAAATGGTCTCTCTTTGGCAATCTCTTGGTAGTGCATTGTACTGTGAATCACCCTTATTTATCAATTAATTGTAAATGGCAATCAGGATGCTGCAATGGTTACACAAATCTTAACTGCAAGAATGTTTTTAACAGAAAATTCCACTTTTTGTTCTCTTAACAAAGCAGGCTGTGATTAATACACAGAGTAATTCACATTACTGCTTGACTTATTCAACCTTCTTTATCTTCAAGCAGACTTGAATTCTCAATTCTGATTGGTCAATCCACGGCAACAAACAGTGTGACATATCACTATTCTAACTCAACGCATTGCGCTACTGTGATGCTAAAACAAAATGCACAGCTGCAAAATTTACTGCAAAGGTGGCACGTTTGCATGCACAGGTGCCTATGCTGTAACATCTTTACTGCGCGTCAAGTTTACTTGAAGATTAATTTGTTATCACACTGGCACTCTAGGAACACAGACGCACTTCGGCCTCATGGTATATGGGACACTGACATACAACATTATTCTTTGTCATACCTCTGCTTAGATACTGTCTGTTTATTGGCCCAGAACGATCACATGACAGGGCGATATATCCACATATCACACTCACTGTGAGATACATATCTGTTTCTGCCGATAGTGCGTGTGCGTACACGCGCAGGAGACAGAAGAGCTTGAGGAAGTTTGAGAGCAAACATTACAGCGCCTTTAGTCAGTTTTGCCTGGTACCCATGATACATTTGTGCTTAGGCTGCATGTACCAGTACCAGGGAATTTGATCAATGATCACGCTCGTATTTATACGTACTCGTTCCTGTCCCAACAGTGTATAAGGTAATATAGGGACCGCTAACTAGACTACATGTACTCACTGGTACCCGCACTAGTTTCACATTAATGTTTACGCAATTAAAGGAAGTGAGGAACAGTGCATTTGCAGATGATCATCATTTACGTCTGTTTACAGGTAAGGTTAATTGTACAGAGTGACAGTAGGCCTATCGTCTCCTGAAATTCAGAGCTTCTTTGGATAAATTCCTTAAGACAGAGGTATGACAAAACAATTGTTGACCGCTGTGGTGTGGGATACGATGTTTTGAACAGCAATCAACAATTGTTAAGTGTTCCACTTGCACTCATGTGATAACTAATACATGTAGTAGCATCAGTAAAAAGTCCTGGCCCCATCCAATCGATGCAGTCACATTTTCAAATGTATAATCAAGCAATTCTCTGACCATTTCTATGAGCACACGAAATTTTAAAGTTTGTTATGGAAATGCAAACACTTTGCACACACCAGTACATGTAGTATTAAAACTAGAGGAAGGATACTTGTTAAAGTTACGACTACACGTATTTGCCAACGCTGGGCATTTTAGACTCATTAGTTTTCATGAAGTTCTGCCTTTACAAACATTGCATACAAACAGTTCTAAAGGAGAGGAAATATGTAAGGGTGTTCTCTGAAAAACTGTCAATCCCTGGGACCAACAACATTGCACTTACAGGTACGTGTACATGCATAATGCAATGCTATCTGTTACCTCACCCAAACTGTAGTGTACATGTAGCTGCGTGGTTTATCTCAAAAAAATGTGCATGAATATGTAGACGTAGCATAGGTTATCAGCTCAGAGATACACACACATTTTCACTGGACCGTGCATACATTTGCCCAATAAATACATGTACTGTAGCTGATATCTTTTCCGATCTTCATTCCTTCAAAAACTTATTAACCAAGAGCACATCTATTGAAACAGCAAACCCAATGTAGTTAAGGACCACACATCAGTGATGAACAATGTACATGTATTCAAGTCCATCACAAGTCCTTTCACAAGTCCAGTCACTAGTCCCTTCACAAGGCTAATCATAAGTAACAGGGTGAACAATGACAAAGGAATGCTTTTGTCACAGCTCATTTGAATAGCTTGTGAATTGGCTTAAGACTGAATGACTTGTGATGCACTCGAATATAACACTGCCATTCATCATGTAGCTATACACTTGGCAAGAACTACAGTATATGATTTCAGCTAATGGTAATTAAATATGCAGAACCACAGAGCGTAGTTGAGCTTGCCAATTTTCATGTACACATACAAGTTTGCACACAAAGTAACATCAGGCAGCCTGTTTTAAAAAGCCAAGAATTCCTAAAATCCAAGTACCCAATTTTCAGAAGGTTTGAGGTCAAGACACAAACAGCACCACGTATGTTATCTTACCTGTAGCATGCATTCTAACTGGAACATACAGAGGCCAAGCTCAGCCATACTGGGTTTAAAGAGTTCTCGTAAACGATATTCTTGCATCAACTTAACAAGAACACAGAAGGCTTCCTCTTCTGGCATCTGTGATCAAAATTACAATAAAAGAGAAATAAAAGTTTCTTGGGTATGTGGCTCATGAATACAAAAATACCAGTTAATCATAACAACAGTGCAAGTGTCGGTGCTACTTAATGAAGGCAAAGACATATCCCAATTTTCATGCGGCCAAACTTCTTTTTTATTGGGGGGAGGGAAATCAAACATTTATTTCAGGCAACTTATTATAGCATTAGGCTTTTACACATTTTTTGAAGGAAGGGAAATGAAATAGACCAAAACATTTGTCAGTTCTCTCATTAAAAAAAACAAAAAACAAAACTTGGCTCTTTTTTGTGGGGGGGGCATGGTCCCAAATTGCCCCCACCTCCCATATTTGCCCTTTAATAAAGTAGATCACTAATACTTGGCCAAATGTGTATGCAATATCTTACTTAATTGAGAACAAGTACAGAAATCTGAAACCAGCAGGTTCAAACTCATGGTTGTGAACTGCAATTTGTCAGTCTTAACACATTGCTGTATTTTTCTTGTCAATTTCCCATGTAATTGATTTGACAAAAAAGCACTGCATCCTGTCAAACTGTGTTGACCAGTAATTTGGGATTGGATATCTGGCTTTCCAACATGAGTTACCCATTCATCCCAAAATGTTTATACTGCACAAAAATTTAATTTATTAAACCATCTTCCTGTATGTTATTGCAACCAGACGTTGGCAGATTCCTACATTATTTTTCAACTGCCCATATTCAATACTGAAACCATTTGCATATATACTTTTCATCTAGTAAGGTCCTGCAAGTGACTTATTCATCCTGTGTTTTTGTTACCATTTATTTGCTATTTTATGTAATTAATGGCTAATGACCTCACCTGCATAAGTAGAAGGCCAACTATGAAGGCTGATCCTTGGCAATATCCAACCTCACGGTCATGAATAGAATAAGCCTAAAATGTATATAGGATAAAAGTACAATATTAAGTACCAGTAATATGTATGGAGTGAAGCTTTTGGTGAATCTGATAAAAGAATAAGATCTTTAGATTACAAGATTGAATGAATTTAAATCCATTCTTTACAGAAAGATTTCTGGGTACAAATGGTGGTCAAGACTTCAAAAAGAGCTTAAATAGGGAAATAAACTCATTGACATGAAGACTGCTTTGAGCAATGACCAAAACATCTACCATTATGTGATCACCCCAACAACGCACTGTCTGAAATTACTAGTATCCAAGAACAAAAATGTGTGTATATATCTGCAAAGTGACATGAATCTTGTTGAGGAAAAATAGGGATGAAGCATTCAGTCACAGAATGTACTCTTCCTCTATAAAAGGTTTACCTCTACTCCTTTTAACATCATCAATGCAGCACATCTCTGCACCTTAAATCTCTTGAAGCCGCTGTTCCAACAACCCACCTTCATGACATTGAAAAGTGTCTCCTGTCCTGGTCCATCCTTCTCCTTGAAGAAATCATGTTCAGGGTATGTCCGTGCAATATCTCTACGAATGACCTTCTCACATGGTGATGTCATCTTCAAATATTCAGCATATTTTTCTTTGAGTGGAGAGTTAAATGCATTGCATTGAAGCTGCCATACTATGCCTCTGAAGTGATGTGGTATACCCAGTCGTATAAGTTCCTGGAATAAAATACCGAATGACACCTGTTAAACCTCGTTAAAGCTTGTTAAATTATGTAAACCCTAAAAAGTGACTCCAGTTAGAAATACATGTACACAGTGCAGCTAAAAAACAGAATCAGAAGCTCTACACTTCAGCTGTTTTTTGAATCTGGTTATCTTATATGTGTTTGCTCATATCACCAGTGAAAAGAGATTCTTTCAACTACAGTAAGAAAAATAATCGACAGCTCAAATGTGATTTCTTGAATAGACCTCTGCTGTAACTTCTTGAAATTGCTTACCTTCAGTGGTTTTGACTTTTTGCGTGAGTATTCCTCCCAATCATTGACAATCTTGCCCCAAATCAGCCATTTGTCTTGCATTCCAAGATCATCAAGGTTATCACTGCAGGAATTGCCAGAGGAACTGGGTGCTTGAACATTACTCATGTTACTCAAAGTGGACCCAGTAGATCGCAAGCTAGCATTGGAACCTCTCCGAGATGATTTGCTAGAATCACCAATAGACTTGAGTGATTTAGCATCAGCTTCCAGTAACCTGATATGACAAAGACAAAAAGGGAGGGAATACAAGTGCATGTATTAGTATTATTTATTTCTGGTAATGGCACCAAGGATTTCTCAAAAGCGCCCTATGCACTGTAGCTCATAAGCCTGAAGAAACCTGTAGACACTGAGAAGACAATGAAAAGCAGTTACAGTTTTAGAGGTGGGAGGAAACCCCAGAAGAATATTCTGGGTAAAACCCACGGAATCAGGAAGGGACTGAAAACCTAATCCACATGTAGACCGAGCCGGGAATCGAACACGGACCGCAGAGGTAGAAGGTGAGGAAAGAACCACTGCGCCAACCCCACTCCCCAATCTAATAAAGATTACGACACATTCTCTCATATTCTTTGTAACTGGCTGTTTAACTCTCCTAGTATATACCGGAATCAATCAAATCCTTTATCAAGATTCAATCTTTTGTGCAAAATACTAGAGGTTAAGTAAAAGAAAAATTATCAAAGAAATGACTTTCTTACCTGTTGGCCTGTTCTAGCTTTTCTAAGAGCTCTGCTTCAGATTCGGCTGTGATTGAATTAATTGCAGGAAGTGAACCCTGTCCTTCTTTAGTGAGTCCTTCCTTATTCTCTGAACTTTTTTCTTCGGTCTTAGCATCAGTAGGATTGGAAGCTACAGCTTGTAACCTCTCAACTGCTGACTGGTCTTTAGTTCTTTCTAATGAGCTCACAGCACTTTTAGTAACTTCAATCCTTTCTCCATTCCCTTGTTCCTGGTTGATTTTGTTGACTTTGCTCTGCACTTCATCATCATTTAAAACTTGAAATTCTTTGGGGGCTTGGACTTCAATTGTTGCCATGGTAACTTGAAGAGCCAACAATGCTGACCTTTCCAACAACATGTACATGCACATGTATTAGCAACATTTGTAGAAAGAAACATAATTTTGAAAGCATACTTTCAAGTTCTGAAAACTACTTTACAGCATAGAAATTGGCAAAAAGTGTACATGTGTGCACACGACACAAGCTACAGTACTGTGCCACCCAAAGCCTGAATCATTACAAAGGAAATTACTTAAATAGTAACAGGATATGATACACTATTAAGGCAGAGTGGACACTGATCAGATGATGTCACTATCACTGGAAATCATAGTCCTCTACTAATAGCAGAAAATACAAAGGTGCATAAGTGCAGAGGTATCAGTAATGGTGGTTATGTTCGGAGATACTGTAAATGGGGACAACTAGCAATACATCTACATACATTTGATTTCAGAAACCGAATTTCATAGAAAAACAAACAAATGGACCGTATAAGACCAGTACGTCATACAACCAAACAAAAATACCAATTAATCATGATTAAAATTCATGAACATGTACACACTGTTCTGTCTTAAATTAAGACTGACCAAACAGGGATGTTAAAGTTTTCATACATTTAAGAGGAGTATATTGCCAAAATTTGTTCCCAAGACTAAAGATGTACAAAAAAACTTGACCTGATTCCTTGCTGCATGTTATCTGCACTCAAGATCCAAGTCTGACATTGCCCTGAGTTTGTTTTGCATGACATACTCGTTGTAGGGTTAAATGTACTAAATCAAACATGTACACATCGGTGGATAAATCAGTGAGTGTGGCAAATAAACAGCTGTTACACACTGAAACCAATTTTGTTTCAATATTTGATTATACATCGGTACATCCATAACATTTTCACTGTCACATCACATACATGAGACTGTGAATCTCTGTTGACACGGCATCTGTTATTTCCAAGAAAAAATTCTGTACCAATCTACATGTTGCTGCTGCGCACAGTTAACCAATCTGCATGATCACCCAATCACCTTGCAAGATTGGTCCATCATGTTGATCCTAAAATACATCTTCTTATTTCATGTTTACTGTCCCTTTATGTTCAACATTCTTCCGCAAATTTCAATTAAAAAGAAAATGTGGATAAAAGTTCCTTAAACATGTACAGACAACACTACTTTTCCCTTGAAATGTTATAACAGCTGTCAGAAAGTGATAACATGTCCCAAGATTTAAAAAAGTGAAATATAGCCGAGAAAATTTTACAGCACCTGCTTATGAAACACTTAGGTTTTTCAGACAAGTTGTGGGCACAAGGCCTCAGGTGTTGTCCGTATATGGAACTCTTTCCATAAAATGTGATAAACTGATGCTGCAGTTAGGCTACCACAAACTCTGCAATAGCATCACAATGATCGTGCCCAACATAGCTACACTGCACATTGCCTACCTTTACCAAGCCCCACAAATAGGGCTGTAGTGGCTCGCTTTACAATCTGTCTCTTATCTGTCGCCACTACAGCCCTACTTCAAGGCATGACCTTGGAGCAGAAAGTCTCAGTGTGCCACCTGCTATCATGGCTATTGCTAACCAGCCATGGCTGACATGGTTGTTGTCACCATACTAACAGAACGTACAATGTAGACTGTAGAGTACCTGTAATAATGTTGCTTGCAAGCAAATTCACAAGTTTCAATAGGCGTAATTCAAGATTTGGGATGTAGGTATATGTACAGGATATAAGCCTATGTATTATGTATAATACTAATACTAGGCCAAGTTGTTACAATCCAGTCTGCTTATGCCTTACAAAATGAGCACTCAGAGCAGGTCATGTATGATGTACCTAAGTTATAGTCCCGGGTGGTACTTTTGTAGTTGTAGGAAGGCCTAACCCATGGCCTAACAACATGAACAATCGTGACAATAACTGTAACTAGTATAGTAATAAGGGCCTTCACCTGTTCACGTCTGACGCCTTTCACCTTTGGCCGCCCATCCACGTCATGTAACTTTAACTAAGCCTCGGTGGTGTGTACACGGCCATGACAGTCATGGATTTCGATCCCATCGATTAAGTCAACAATGAGTTACACAAAACACACAATGTCAAGGTCATCTGAATCTGACTGTAAATTACCGGCGTACATGGCATACATGTAACCGAACATTAACAGTAAGTGTAGTTCATGGACGGGGAAATGACCTTTGTGACCTTAGAAGTATAGAGACTACAACCTCGTAACCAAATAATTTCTTATTGACTTATAATACCGGTCAGATTTTTACCTGTGGATGAGGTTAATCCGGAAGACGATAGACTGGTTTCCCACTAATGAAAGTGGCCGCAGCCAGTTCCCATTGAGTCACATGTGATTTTAAGCCGCAGCCACTGAGATATATGGTAGTGGCTGCAGCATAAAGTCGTGCGTAATTTCAAGCTTTCTCGCCCAACTAGGTCAGACACAACGCCCAGTGTACTGTTAGGACATGCACATTTGAGTAGTCACGATTGGGCTTACTTTGGGCGCTATGTGAGTTCCACGGGTAGGCCAACAGGTACCCAGTTTACTATGTACATGTACATGTGTTCAGTTAGTATGGTCTGTCTGGTACTACATGTACATGTGGTGACACTACACAGTAGCTAGCAGGACTCGGCGATTGGAATTAAGTTCTCAAGTGCGAATAATCTCATTTCTCAGTCAGAATCATTGTCTTCATTCCAATGGCTGACAACGATTTACCAGAGGGATGGGAAGTGCACTACAGTAAAAGTCAAGGGGGTAGGCATGAACTGAAAGCATGGAGGTTTCCTTACTCTCTAGATGATGAACTAGGCCTATACGCTACTCACTAGACCTCTTTTCCTACATGTACCTCCATCATGTCCTTGGTACTGTAGGCCTGTTAGTTACGCCCCAACTATAGCATAAGTTCCAATTATAGTTGGGACAGTCCCAACTGTAGTGCTGCAGTTGGACTGGCCCAACTATTGTTGACCAATGTGTGTGGGAAATGTCTCAACATTATCCAAGTCAATGTGTCTCACACTTGACACAATTCATCTAAAATGTGGCACTTCATCTGTTCATCCAGCCCTATGACTAAGACATGACATTTGTAAAAAATATAACTTTGGCACATGCTGGGCACATCGTACACAGAGGACCTCTCTGCTGTAGTTGGGCCGGCCCAACTGTAGCACTCTAGTTGGGACGGGCCCAACTATAGTTGGGACTGATGCTATAGCTGGGGCGTAACAGGCCTACTTCGGAAAGGGCATTCTGACGACGAAACATGGGCAGTCATGGGAGTTTTGTTTGCTCCTTATTTTGAACTGTTAACCCTCCTTTGGTTTAACAGCACAAATATGCCCCCCAGTCACCTGGTCACTCTCTTGCATGTGTTTTATAATGCGGAACACAAACATGCGCAGGTTGTGTGTACACAGTTGCCAGCATAAAATGACACAGGGTCTTTTGTGCAGTCCTCTTCACTGCATTAGGTTTACTGCACAATTATGCACATGAAACAGTGAGCATGGTGAGGCACAGCACAAAAGTGCAATCTGATATTCCTGTGAGGGACTGTTGGTGCAGTGTACAACACAACACAGCTGTGCTTCTTTGAGCATGTTGAGTGTTTAACCAAGTGACCGAAAGAGTAACTTCAGCATAGGAGGGTTAAGCCATAACGCAGTCTATGAAACACGCAAATTTAAAAAATCCATGCGTAATTTTGAAACTTTGCACATCCACAGATATTGCCATAACAAAAAGCCACTTGCGAGTTAAATTTGAATAAAATCTGGTACACTGTATTATCTGATTCCACAGAAACGTAGCAATTTGAATTCCCCAGACCATGGAGGAATGCGCAGACTAAAGACACTGTTGCTATACCTTGTGATTCGGGGCAAGGTGTTGCATACCAGCATAGCAACCACCATCTCTGGAATGGACTGGTTCCTTCTTATCCATTGAAAACAATGTATTGTTGCAAAGCATCTCTCAGTCTTATGTAACTATTAGTTACTAGCAAAAGCTTGCCTTGTATCAGGAGATATAGCATTAGCAACAGTGGTTTTAGTGTGGAGAATTCAAGTTGTTGTGTTCACGTAAATTTAAAGAACTCAGTGTACCAGATTTTATTCAAAGTTGACTCGCAAATGGCTTATTGCACTCGGCATTTAAAATTGCATGGATACATGTACCACAGGTAACGGTTGTAAGAGACTGACATCAACTACTGGTACACATTTTGCACAGTTTTGTTGTCTGGACTGTTTCGCACATAACGTGAATTGCATGTACTGTACAGGGTGGTATGTGTGCTTATGGGGCTGAGGCATGGTACATATACATGTATGTCATGCATCCCGGCGACCAGCCAAGAGAAATTTCACCATTTGAGCATTTTGATGAATATTGCCATGTGAGAGCAATTAAATTCCCCTGAGAACATTTAATTCAAACTTTTCTTCCCTCTGAAAGAAATTCCTCTTGAGAACTATTAAATTCCTCTGTTGATATTTAATTCTGAAAATTCTTAGGGCCGTACACATAATATTTTTTAGAAAATATCTGCAATTAAAATTAGAAGTAGGTTCCCAGAAAAAATAAATTATAAGGGAAAATGAGGACTGAGGAATCCTAGCCTTTACTTAAAGCAACATTTTCTAACCTTTATTGGTGCCAGTTAGCTGGAGACTTCAACAGAACTGGAAATCCCCACGTCGCCAGCCTGCCATGGCTGGGTCCGCTCGAACACCAACCATCATGACCTTCCTTTAGAAATTGCACAGTTCGAGACACAAAAATTGCACATGTTCAAAGATTGTGTGCAACTTATATTTGAAATATGTGCAACCTAACAAAAATTGCTCCAGGAAAATTGCACAAGTTGTGTTAATTTAAAATTTGTGCACTTTCAAAGATTGCGCTGAACATAACCATGGTGTAACATTAGGCATATCAGTTGGTGCCGGCTGTGCAGTGGGGGAAAGAGTTCCGAACATCACTTGACAGGACACCCTGTCATGCCCATGCACAAATCTAGTATGACGTGTGAGGCTCGTCTGAAAAATTCAAAGTATTTTCTGAGTAAATACTTCAACAATATTTTCCATGCTGAATCTGACATTTTAGGACGTTTTCACTTTCTGATGGCTTACGTGTACATGCATACATGTGTATATCACTGGAAGGAAAAATTAGTGATGTCCCTAAATGAAACTCTAAAACTCGTGGGTCTAGGGGAGGGGTGTCATATTAGTTGTGGGAAGAGTTTCATGTTCTATACAGACGTCACTTTTTTCCTCCGGATAAAATGCCTGAAAGAGTCAAATTTAGCAGGGAAAATATTAATCAAAGGTACTTGTATTTACTTAACTAATGCTGTGAATTTTTCAGACCAATCTCATAGGGTTTGTCCGCAAGGTGTCATGTGATGTCCGTGGAACTCTTTCCTCAGTTGCGTCTGGATGCATGATAGACTGCACGCATTGATTATTTAGCCACATGTAAAGTCATTGTGGGTTATCGATGGTTCAGTTTACGAAGTTAGTACCTGATACATGTACGTTTTGCCATTTTTTCACCCTTCTTGTCACTGTTAGTGACATAATAATGGGGAATGAATTTTGATTTAAACTGCAAGATACCAGAGTCCCACACAGCAGTGCAGAATATTCATGATTCCATTGTGACATGTCCATATTCATTAACCACTTCCTGCCGAGGCATTTATCAATGTTGATGACACTGGGGCGGGATATTTATCATTTTTTTCTGTTTTCAAAATTCTTCTAAAATTTTTTATCTTCTTTTACTGGGCACTTACAAACACGTGAAGGCATGTCTGGTGTCCACTCTAGCCAGACAGTCAAAATCTGTTGACGCCTGAGTATTTCAGCCAGGCCAGCAGCCTTGTAAAAAGAGCCCAGATTTTGTAGTGTTATGTAATATTCTTTTGTTCAGGAACTTGGCTCAGTGCACTGCTGACCTCTTTTCAATAGGGGCCAGGTTAGCATGCAGCAGTGCTGTGTGGCTCATCACTGAGGTGGTGGAGCACTTTTGTCCCTTGTGGTAATCTGCTTGCTCTAAATGCCCCAAACCTTGGTATACTGTTTCAAAACAAGGCAGGATTATCTCCACTTTTGAGGGTGAAAAAATGTTGGTAATGCCCAGCAGCCTGGTCTTTTGTTACAAGGCCCTGTTCCTTTTGTCCGAGTTTGGAGACCCCGGCCACGCATATAAAGCATACGTGTCCGGATTTGCAGTCCATGGCAGGAAGTGGTTAAGATTTCTCCTGACATACACATTAATTTTGCAGGTCGTAAATATTACCTCAACATCTATACCAAGGAAAGTCAGTGGGATAAACCTATGGCAGCAGCAGTCAAAGCAGTGCGTTGCTCACATCTTTTAGTCAAGCACAGGGACTCGCGACGTCCATCATCATGGAAAGAAGAAAAAATCACCCGCACTAAAGAGGAAGCTATTAAGCTGCTGAAAGGTTGGTCTAAATTAAATAAAAATTAACTGAAGCTCACATGAATGTTTAAGATTGTAAAGAAATCCTTTAACAAGACTTCCTGACAGTCTTGACTTTATTCATGGAATTGTGTTTTAATAGTACGATTAATTAAACTTGCTTTGCATTTACAGATTCAGTGTATGTGAAGCTGAACTAGCCTTTTTCTGAATTTCAATGGTTTCTTTCACCTGTAGGATTTCGGGAGGCTATTGTAAATGAGCAAGTAAGCTTTGCCAGCCTTGCTTCAACAGAGAGTGATTGCAGCTCTGCGAGGAAGGGAGGTGATCTAGGTTTCTTTGGTCCAGGTCAAATGCAGAAACCATTTGAGGAAGCATCCTTTAAACTTAAAGTTGGGGAAATAAGTGATATTGTCAGTACTGATTCTGGAGTTCACATCATCATGAGGACTCAGTGAAAGGTTGTTTTGATGAGAGGGAAACATATAGAATACTTGCAGGGACAATTGCCATGTTTGTGTAACATGATTATTGTTCAAACAAGCTGCACTGATGTTCCAAGATTGTACAAAGCAGAAATTGGTGTTAAAACCTGCTGTTTTATTGTCCTGTGTTAAACAGTAAATTTTAGAAGTTTAACTGATCATGAGCACTGTTTAGAAAGTTTATCATTTTGTCAATTACCTCTCATACTGAAAAAAAGATTTAAGTACAGGACAGTGCAACTTGGGTTGTTTCTATCTCGTAATACCTCGCTTATCTTTTAGCCAAGAGTACAGAGAACTACTTCTTACATGCACAAGAAGGGGACACTCGGGACATTTGGATTACTCTCTTGACATTTGTAATTGGTGCAAGTTTCTTCAACACTGATATGTACTAGAAACTTCAGTGCTTAGAACAGATTGTGACACAAGGGCATATTTTGGTCACCTTGCCACATACGTCAGGAATTTGTGTTCTTGTTTCAAGGTCAGTGTAAATGTACAAGGATATGTTGTTAAATAGCAAGTCAAAGTGAGCTGTACTTGGGAAAACAAGGACAAGACATTATTACATGTAGTTATCACATGAATGCTTGTGAACATGGAATATTGTAGTGTGTATTGTGTCCCATGTACTATTTCACCCTCGTCCTTGTATATGGGACAAAGACTAACACTAACACAAGAGCTTTAATGTGGTAAATTTGTCTTCAATCAGACTTGACACATAGAATGATGAAATGTATGCTCTGTGCATGAAAAAGAAATAAAACGAAATATTTCAAAGGTGTGCGTGTCAGAAAAAAAAGTAAAAGTGGACAGAGACCACATGTACCATAATTTTGCATGTGACACAAACATGCTGTCTTTGAATTGACAGTCAATTTTAATGTTGAGCATTTCTCTTAAAACGTTAAGAAACGCAACACCCAGTTAGAACAGGGCCATACGCAGGGTGAGAAAAGGACTGTGCAGCATGGTAATATGGCACACAGTTGCCAAGACCAGTCAGAATTGAGGGTTCAAGCTTGCTTGAAGAAAAAAGGGTGACACAGTTGTCTAAATGTCGTGGTATTTCTGGAGTTGGAAAGACCGAGGACCGAATGCAAATGGTACTACGTGTATATGAATCCAGATCATATTTAGTTTCTAATGTACATGTAACAACAATGATACTGTCTGAACTGGTCCTAAATTAAAAAACAGCCTGCAGCTTCAAATTAGTCATGGTTTCCATGTAAACTTTTAATACTCTTAAGTTACTTTTACTGTCAATGTACATCACATCAAACTGCACATTGTGCTTTACATGTACATGTAATTCCCCCAAAGCAGAAACAACATAATTGCACACAATAAAACATCTACTAATGTCTGCTACATTATGTTATTTCATGCAGTGCTTAAGTACTTACGTGTAGTTACTTTTATTTATAATCTTAAAGATGGCATCTGTGAATTTTCAAAAATGAGAAAAGGGAAACATCTCTCGTAACACTGACTGTACGAGATAAGGACTTCAGTCTAGTTACAAAATTGTTTACGTTTTGACCGTTAAAACCCTGAAGGGTATTTTCTAGCAGTATTCCAATTATACTTAAAAATGGACATACATATAACCCACCAATCCCACAGCAATGTGCTATTTTGTTCCTTGTATGAAGCTTGACCACTACAAATCCTTGCAGCATGTCGTGTACAATTCAGAAAGATTCAGAGCATTTTTAGTTATTTTCTGAAACACAAAATAGCAGTTTTACTGTATTCTTTTGAAAATAAAAGATCAAGCATTGCAACATTCGGGAAGATGCATCTCTGATTCGCCTAAATTTTGAAGGACCAATGAAACAGACAAAAGTTGTGCAGACGCATTTCATTTATAAATGTTAAAACCAGAGAAATGTTATCACAGAGAATGTCATTTTAAATACACTGTCAGCATTTCGGCATACCACATACTTGAGTTACAAAACAAAAGGCAGTTCTCCTATGCATATACACTGTACATGTTTTTGACTAATTTTGAGCATAATTTCCGGGCAGAACTCTCACAGGTTAAATGAAACATTTCTGTACTTCCAAGTAAATGTACTGATGCTTATGAATTAACTTTACAGTTATAAGAATCCACACACTTGACATTTAGTTCAAAGCACCTTTCCAAATGATTAAACTGCCTGGTACTTCACAAAAGTCTCTGTCAATCTCCAATAATTAGCTTGGAAACCGTTAAACCTTTGGAAAAACATGTCCGTGTGGATGCATTGTTTTGAAAAATGGATAGCATAACAGACCGTGTGGACTGGAAACATGCAGTTCTTGGACCTCAAAACCTAGTTGAGTGAATATTCTCCCAAAAGACATCATCTGCCTTTTTTCTCACAGGATCAAAGAATTATTTTGGGACTGCAAAAGTTATTTGTAGGGAGGTTTGGCTGAACGGGGACGGGAGGAAGCTGAGCGACTACGTGCTGCAGCAGCTTGGAGCTGTATCTCATAAGCAGTAGGATGAATCTTAAAGCCATACAATCTGTACATAAAAAAGGACATAAAATCCGGTAGTATTACGGCAAGTTTTAAAACAAGTTTAAATAAAATGCTTTAAGAAAAAGGTGATTCATGTCAGAATAAATTTTAACTGTCAAGAAAGACTCAGCAATAATATAACAAATTTGTCGTAAATATTTTCTGAGAAATGACAAGTATAAATGACATGGGGCTCATAATTAGCGGGTGCAGGTAGCTGGGAAGTGCCTGTTTACCTCCTTAACCACTTTCTGCCGGGTGGAATTCAATATGCGGGATGAGTTCCCAGGCAATTTTTCAAGATTTTCCATTTTGAAAATTCTTAAAGAATTCATAACTTCATTCACTGGATGTTTACACCCACACAAATGACTGTCTAGTGGCTACTCTAATCTGACAGGCATTAATGCCATCCCAATTTTTTTCAAATCGAACGAAAATCATTCAGGTCTAAGAAACAGTAGGATACGCTTTATACCTGAACATGTCCGTTATAAGTGCTGAACCAGCAGCCAAGTGTTGAAAGGCTTCAGCCTGTTTTGACTGCAGCCATTCTTTCCTCGGCATTTTGCATACCACAAAAACTGGCCAGGCCAGTGATTCAGCAAACAACGTACATGAGAATTAATCAGGGTAGTTCCGATCGACCATACCGATGTCGTGTATGTACAGTTCGGATCACGTGCAGCGCATAGCACTAAACTGCAAACACTACATTGCAGTGTTAAAATACTGCCCCGACCATACAATTGTCCCGTGTGCATGAAAAACGTGAAGCTCTCGATATACCGGTAACGCGTACACATTGATGAGCACTTGTTCTAGACTGACATTATTGCATGGTACATTAAAATTCTCAGCTTAGGCATACGCTGTTATGTTTCATGTACATGTAAGTCGTTGGATAGGCCGGCAGGTGTCGCCTGTGCTGCGCTATGCTTGCGATCGTGCAGTATGCCCTGCTTTAAGCGTGCATGCCATGCATTTGGATGGTGTGGCGCGGTGTTTCGGTAGAATGTGAGCATTCAAGGAACGATATGTATGCCGCTTGCCATGCCAATTTCCATGTACCTCGATGAACAGGGGCAGTCGAAAAGCATGTGTAGGGCACTATGGCCAAGAGAAAAAACAGGCACTGCCATCTTGGCGGTGAAACAAGATCACTTTTTGGAGGCACCAGGCCAAATAGGCCACCGACAGCCATGGCCGTCGTGGCCATCGTGAAATTCGAGGCCTGGTCATGCATCATTGCACGGCTTGTTCGTGCTCTATCTTGTTTGTTTTTTACTAGCCTTCAAACAATTTTTGGACATTAACTTATCACAATGCCCGTGCAACACAAACATATAACTGCCCAAAGAGGCTCTGACTTGGATACAATCTTTGACAAGACTGATCCTCAAGTTACAAATCTGCAGGAAAAACTGGATGGAATACACCTTGGACCACCAAAATCACTTTTTTCCGGAGGCATAACTTAAAAAACAAAAAAAATTCCCCACCCTAACATTTCTGCCCCAAAACCTTAAAAAGATAAAAGATACAACCCACCTACCCAACCTATTGTTTTTCAGCGTGATAGGAAGCACAACTATTATTTTGTTTTGCCTAAAGTTGTTTGATTTTCTAAAACATACATGGCTTATAGGAGCTACTTGCTCCCTTAAACTGACAAATTCAGCTGTCTAGGGAGCAGGTACTTGCTCCCATGATGGTTATCCCAATTTCAAGCCCTGATGACGTTTATAAATAAATAAATAAACAAGAATTGAAGTGTTTTGGGATATTGTATGTTAAAAATTTTTCAATTTTGTCATACAGACTTCAATAATTTCTGGCAGCTATCCTTAGAATAGCCTGCATTCAAATAGCTGTCATGACTTACCTTGGAACAAACTGATTTGGAGGGCGTTTAGGCCGATACTCTGGATGCACCATGAAGAACATGTGCGGGAAACCAGTGCCAAAGTATGCGCCATCTGTGTGATGGTGTCGCGATGATTTAGGTGTGTAAACATCCTGACATTTAGGGCAATAAAGCTTGACCATAGCTTCTCCTGGAACATCTGACAACCCTGAAGAAAAAGGAATACATATGGCTATTTCTGAAACATGCATGACAAGCTGGTTCTTCCCTTTTTGTATACTGAAAGGGAGTCAGATAAACCAATACCTTAAAATACCTTAATTTTCTGAATATAAGCCATAGCTTATACACTGACTCTCATGCTGAGAAATATCTCTGCGGCTTATACTCCGAATGGCAACATTTGAATAATGAAATCTGTCACTAAACGCTGTGCCATGCCACCAAGCCACTGGCCAGGCGGCTGGCCAGCCACACATGCAAGATACACGGCACTCTGGGGACAAGGCAGTCATGTTTTTAATGGTTACCACTTGCGTGTTGGATACAATAGAAACCAGTCAAGAGAGATTGAAGAGACTTGTAAATGTACTGTAAATACCAATCATACCTCAAATCATGTGGTGCATCTGTTCGTTTTTGTCTTTTTATGTTTTTATAATCCATATTATTTATTTCACTGGTCATTTGGTGACTGTTGAAAAGAAGAACAAAAATAACGACTGCATTACCCACCCAGCAAGGATACTAATCCAGCCTGCCAAAATTGGTAATTTCAAGGACTTGAGAAAGTTTAAGTTTAATAGCAACACTCGTTCGCACGATGCTTACACTTGAAGATTGCATACCCGAAAGTGGCACAGGCCCTAAGGTTGGACCCTTCAAATTTTTGCCTCCGGCATTAGTCTATATTGGAGCAATATTTTACCTCAAATTTCACAAAAGGTGAAATTTAATTTCACTCCAAATATTCAGATTCATAAATGTCGATTTCATATGGCTGCTACAAATGCCAATGAAACTTTACTTTGGCCTGATTTTCTGATTTTTTTTCTGAAGTGCAAAATGAACTCTTTTAAAATGCACCGGAAAAACAACTTTTTTACAATTTTTAGTTGGGTATGTAAGTGGAGCAAATAATGATTTACTAGAATTTTTAACGTTAAACAACTTCTGAACTGTTTTTATGGGATTTTCAAGATATATTCAAGGGCGCCAGGTCACTCAGCTGAATTCTTGCCCAATTACCGGACGTCGATGTGTTCGAATTTGGATGAATTTCCACTGAAACTGAAATTGTTCACAAAGGTAAAAAATCCTGTATCATGGAGGCAACAGTACATGTATCAGTATTTAACTAAGTGTGTTTGAAGTTTTTCAACAAAAAGGTTTGGTAGCACTATGAAGAAAGTCAAGTTAATGTTGAATAGTGCCACATAATTACTCTACATGTACTAGCACCAGCGCTTCAGCAGTGCAGCACATTTGATGACTTACCGTCCGAAAATTATGGAAGCAATAACGGGTAAAATACCTGTACAGCACACATCAGCTGCATATTATGTACAACAATGTCAATACTTAATTTGGATATTTGCCCTGCCCGACGTGTGTTTTGACGCTGTATGCTCAGTGTATGCCCCTGAAGGCTTGTGATAAAAACGACAAGCGTACTTGGGTGGGACTCGAACCCACGACCTCCTGATTACTAGTGCAGATGTCTTAACCACTCGACCACCAAGAGGTTCAAGTCCCATCAGAGTACACTAGTGGTTTTTCACAAGCCTTCGGGGGCATACACTGAGCATACAATGTTAAAATTACACGTCGGGCAGGGCAAACATCCAAAATTAATTTACATCTCCCTGGCACAAATCCATCCTTGAAATAAATGTAAATACTGCTAAAAACACCTCTCCTCCCCCCTTTTTCTAGGGAATTCAATTGGCAATTGCCAGAAGTCTGGTAGTCCTGAAAGCTGATTGATGCCGTCATCATATACATACCAATGGGCAAGACTAGCTGGTTCTCACAGTAGACCCTTGGGCAATGGCCAAAATCACCTTGCTGGTACTTTTCAAGCTGTAAAAACCATGCCATATTTTAAAAAAGTAAGTTCTAACACTGATGAAGAGACCTACAGTAGGCACGTACAATTTCACTCATGTCATGACAGGTCTTGTCAATAGACCAATTCTGTCCGTTGTGTCATGTGACCTACAGTGGGTAAAAACTATCAAAAACACAGCACCTATGGTCCACTAAAAGCAAAGTGTTTCATGAGTACCATTTACCAAAAATTAAGCCAACAGTAGGTGACGTACTCACACTACTGATATGCTGGGTGCTATACCATAAATTGGCTTTAGTGTTTGTAAACAAAACTCAAAACACATGTTGATACGGGGTTGATACCAACTTTATAGGTCATGTGATTTAGCAAGTGCAATCAGTCTTTTCAAGATGTATTCAGTCTATTCTATTGAGGGAGAGAGCAAAGGAGGGTATGAATCAAGCAAAGGGGAAAGTGAAAATCAATACCAAATACTGGCTTGATCAACTTTGCTTAATTTAGGTTACAATTACAGTTTTAAACAAGTGTAAACATAATTTTAACATGGACATAACAGGGATGAGATTGACCAATGAGAAAAAAAGCTGAAAACAGCTGAAAAAATGCATAAAGAAGCTGAACTGTGAAAAACTCCTATACTTTTGTACAAAGCCAGTGAGGAAAAAAAGCTGAAATCCAAAACGAAAAAAACTGAAATCAGCTTAAAAGCTAAGAAATCTCTCCCCTGACATAAATGATGGCAGGTAGAGCAAACACCAATTAAAGAAATACATGACCTTTAACGCCAGATCATTTAGTCGGAATTACAACTGAAATTAACATTAAAAACCTGTTCCTAGAATGTAAAGTTAGCATGGATCAAAGGAGTGACATTCACCATTAATGCAATGCCCCTATTGGTCATGATGAATCGTGCATGTATAAGTCCATACAACATCTCAGCTGCTTGTTCTATCAGGTCACTCTGATTTGGATTCTCTTCCAGTTCATCATCTAAACAGATACAAATAAAAATGCAGACATTTAACCTGCAAGACCATGAACATTTTAACTGTAACAGGCCTTGAAATAGAACTAGCCTGGCGTACAAATTCTAGCAAAAAAATGCTCCGGGCTATCTAGACTTGGTTCCTTGGTTGCCCAGTGGGCTAGTGAAAAAATCAGTATAGAACCTACCTGTAGTGTTAAAATTTAGATCAAAACACATGTATTGCATTTGGTGATAATAAATGCACGATTGCAAAACCTTTAACTACAAGTGCAAATCGTGCCTTTTATTTTTCCCATCAGCAGTTTCTTTTCTTCATCGGTATTAAAGCTAACAACAATTTTGGGTTTTCTTTTTTGTGCATACGGGCTAGTAAAACTCCGAACGGGCTAGTAAAATACCCAATTTACTAGCCCCATGGGCTATCCTGGAAAAAAAGTTAGCGCAAGGCCTGTGTAACAGGGCTTCCACAGGGAAACTTTGGGCCTACTCATGGGTCCAGGTCAGTTTTACTGTCACCACATGGCAAATATTTAAAAGTTGGGGAGTAAAAAGTGAGAACCAAAATTGTGCAAGCACTGCTCAAAAGTATTTGACTTTAAAACTGGCATTTTAGCTCAAGCTTTGGCTATTTTAATTTGCTAGATAGAACTTGGCCTGCTGATAATGGTCTTACCTGGTTCAAGATCTAAAATCATGTCCAATGCTTGCCGATAGTGTGGCACCTGCTCATTCAAATTTGTCAGATTGAATTTGTCCTGGATGTAATCTTCATCAACCTGTTAATCAATCCATCAATTGATTAATCAATTTACCAGTTTATCAAACTGTGTAAACATTAACCACTTCACGCCGGGGC